CAAGCGGGCCTGACCTAGGGAGGATTTTATTTAGGGTGATTTTAAGAATAATTTTAAATAGAAACACAGCTTCTAATATTTGGTTTTTAATCTGGTTTTACAGGGGTTTATATTTTTATGTTTTGTATTTGTACTGTTTTAATATGCTGTGCACCGCCCTGAGTCCTGCGGGAGAAGGGCGGTATATAAATTAAATTATTATTATTATTATTATTATTATTATTATTATTATTATTATTATTATTATTATTATTATTATTATTATTATTATTATGTGTTAAATAGAAATGGAAGAGAGGGGCTACCTGCTTCTGGTTTTCATCTGTTTAGATTGCTCCTTTACAAGAATTAGCAGCCAGGTCTTTCTCTATCATGTGTGCTATCACTCATTATTATTGCCTTTTTCCTGCTTATAACCCAATGGGTATTCCTCCAACTCATGAAAATGAATGACATTCATTTTGATACTAAAGTGGCAATATCCAGGCATTACTGGAAAACAGTTTCACAGTCTTCTAAACAGAAAATCACCAAATTCTATCAAGATACTGAAAAATTAATTTCCAACATGGAATTTCAGAACTAAAATTAGCAGATCTGTTTTTATTTGGACTCTGGCTATTACAGACTTAGATATAGCAACTAATAAAAGTGTTATCATAATAATTGCACGTTTCTCTGTTATCTCACTTATACTGGGCTTCATATTTCACAACTTCTTCAAAATGTCTTCCCTTGTATATCATGTGTTATCTATTATATGAAAGTAAACTTCATACATCTGTTTAAATGGCCCAAGCCATAAGAAGATTATACAACAATCATGTGTTGGTTTTTAAAGGCATCATAAAATTCCACTTTAACAATGCTTGAATTAAGAAAAATGGAGGAAGAACAAATTTTTAATGTAATGCTTTCTAAATTTAGAGTTCTTCAATGTTATACCCTTCCAGAGAATGGTGTACAATTCAAATTAAAAGGACATGACAAAAATGGGAGCAAACACTCTCTGCAACCTATTGTAATGCAGTAATTTATATTCATCGGGTGGAGTTATGACTCTTTAAAATCATAATCAATCTAAAAAAGAATCACATAAAAAAGCGCTTTAAGCATATTATCTGACCATTGACTTCTGTGTACTACTATATTTACAAATCAGTTCTCCACTGCTTTTGTCCTCTAGTAAAGGGATAAGAGTAGATCACCAATATTGAATTCTTCAAATTATCTATGTTTCAGAATGTTATTTTGAAAGCAATTTTATACTCACATCTATTTTACAAAATATTTAAATTTATCTATTATAATATATTTTAAATTTAAAAAAAAACATGATGGCTTTGTAATTTTGTCTGAACAAAGCATAATGTAGTTCATTATTAGCATAAATTCAACTGCAACTCTCATTTCCACACGATGTTATGACACTGATCATGTGACAAATTATTCATGTATCTTAAGTACTGCCAGACAGCATGGCATTTAATAGGATATCTATAGACTCTGGAGCACTTGCACAAGTATTTTTATCTCTTATTTTAAATTACTAGCTTTTCAAAACAGAAAGAGTAAAGTAGAAAGAGTAAAGCAGGAGTAAAAAAAGAACAACCAATCTTTGTTAGTGCTGATAAAAGTTAAGGTAAAATCAAGAAAATACGACAAAAGTTATATATATATATAATTTTACAGCTCTTGTTATTGGATAACATGGCCTATTAGCTTATTACAATAAAAAATAATTATAGAATAAGAAATAGAAGTAGCTATTTAAAAAATGTGAATCGAGATTTCAGGAATTGGACAAAAGTATACTTCCCATTGAAAACACGGTTTGCATTTGATTTTCTTTTGGTAATTCCAAGCAGCTTTATAAAAATATAAGGTTCTACTATTACCTCACTCAGTGGTGGGATTCAAATATGTGAACAACTGGTTCTCTGTGTGGATGCCGCTTTCGGAAGTCCATTCTGGGCCTGGGCAACAAAAAATTAGCTATCGGTTCTGCCGAAGTGGTGCGAACCGGCTTAATCCCACCACTGAGCTTACTTAATATAAATATTTAAAAAATATATATAATAAGAGAAATTTATTTCTTGCCCAGCCCTAAACCCAATGCAATCATAATGGGTCGCTGTTTCACAACTAGTATAGCCAAAGCCATTATTAGTAGTCCAAAGAGCTGAACTATTCTCCAGAAAAAGAAAACTTAAAATTATACCAATAAATTAACAAACCCATAACCCACTGTTATTTATATTTAATAGGATCACCATCAAAAATAGTATAATTGTAACTTGCCTTTAAAAGGCAATCAAGACATAATGTGTACATTAATCCTACATGACAAAAATAAATTGCATTGGCCTACCAAAAAAACTGTTGGCAAATTTGTATTTCAGAACTAAACCAGAAGCTTTTCATTTTAAAATTAAATATATCGTATCCATGTAGAATACTTAAAAATTATGTTGCCTTGTCAAAAATGTCATTATTACTGACATATAACAATGAAGTGTTAAAGTAACCAAGTGTCTTGAAATCCCAGATTAAAATCTCTCCCAAAAGAGGGATGGCCCTGCCCATTTTTGAATGGCAGCACTTGATATGCATGATAAATCTACTGCTGTCCTTGCCAGATTATTGAATGATTTTTGTACCTATAAGATCACCTCTACTGTTTCTTTGATCGAACACAATGCTACATAAACACAAATTATGTATAGAAAGTGACCTCATATTAAAGCAAATGTATTACGTATCACCATTTTTATGTAGCACCCGGAAAATTAAAGGCAAACTACGCACTGAATCTGAGATCATTCTGCTTCTTTTAGTAATGCAACAAATGCTTACCATAACAGAAAGATTTCCTGGTGCGAATCAGAAAAGCCATTTTGCAATCCTAATATATATATAATTATTTATACAAGCAAAACTGATTTCTAACAGGAGAAAGTTTTCCTCTGGTATACAAACTAACAAGATCAGAAATGAGGAGGTGATAAGCTGCCTGGGAAAGCCAAGGGAAATCATCAAAACAATTAAAAAACAAAAATTAGAATATTTCGGACATGTGATGCGACACCCAGAAAAATACGGCATACTCCATTTAATCCTCCAGGGAAAGATTGAAGGCAAACGAGGTCCAGGCAGAAGAAGAAGATCATGGCTTCAAAATCTAAGGGACTGGTTTGGACAAAACTCAGCAGCACTTTTTCGTGCGGCTGCTGATAAAAATAGAATCGCCAACATGATCCCCAATGTCTGATAACGGATATGGCACAGGAAGAAGAAGATACAAACTAAGGAAAAAAGTGGTTCAAATTACATATCCTAAATATGCACATATGCATCTCTTCTCCCTCTGTGTCAAAGAAAAAACCTATTCACTAGCTGTGGTAATTTCCCAAGGGGAAAAATGGAGATCAATACTGTTGTGCAGCAACATATACAGTAACTCAGTTGTGACTCAGGCACTTGACAGAAATAAAAATACCGATAGGGGGAAAAAAAATACTGATGATTCTTTAAAACAAGCTTGGTTACAATAGTAATTAAAACAGAATTGTTATAGCTGGAGCAAGTGACAACAAGGCCAACAGTTCTAAATGTTGTGATTCTAAACCTTTACTGCTTACAATGCTTACCTGACTCCAATAAGCAGAGCTATAAGCATCGAACAGATTGGGTCAGCAATCATCAAACCGTAGTTCTGCATCAATAGTGCAGATATGATTACACCAATACTTCCAAGGGTATCAGCAACAATGTGCAAAAATACACCTGCAAGAAAATACATATTGAGTAAAAGGTATCAATTTTTTTTTCCAAGATCAAATTTTCCAAGAGACTTTAAATAAAGAGCCAAGGTTGCCTACCCCTGGGCCAGAGGATAACAGTACTCTACACCAGCGGCCCCCAACCTTTTGGGCACCAAGAACCGGTTCCGTGGTTTTTCCACGGACCAGAGGGGACATGGTTTTGCATGCTGTCGGCATCCTGTGGATGGCGCTTCATTTATTTGCACGGCCCGGTTTTTGGCATGCCGCAGCCCAGTACTGGTCCACGGACCGGGGATTGGGGATGCCTGCTGTACACCGTCATTTACTTAATACACATTTAACAATATTCCTCACATAACTAGTATCTATTATTTGTCTCTTTTCTATTGCGTTTTCAGCACAACCACCACACAATCTGCAGTGCACTCCTCCAAAAAATGTATTAGCAATACCGCAAAGAAAGAAAACTTCCTTTTGGCAAAGGGTTGCTGGGTGTTTGTTTTGTTTTGTTTTTTTAAAATTAATTAGCTTGGCAAAGAAGCTTTGCCAGTTTTCACATCCCTTTGTGCACTTCAGGTGTTGGGGTTTTTGCCCGTCTGTCCACACATTCTTTTGCCAGATGAATTGTAATGTTTAAGTTCTTATACAGCATATTTTGCAGATTTGAGGAAGTTTCAAAGCCAATGGATTCCCCCTCCCAAAAAACCGTTTAACACCTGTGCTAAAGTAAGGCATACTGTTCCTCTCCCTAAGGATAAACTGAAGGCAAAAATGCCATTCTATATGCTGTTATTTAATCAGAGAAAAAGAAAACTATAATAATCAAGTTAGTCATTTTATATGAAATGAGCAAGTCAGAGGTTTCCAAACACAAATGTATGATGCATGAGTAGTATAGGAAGATCATTTAGCACCCTCTGCAGTCACATAGTGGAAATGCAGATTAGAAAGTAGGTTTGTTTGTTTTTTTTTAAAAAAAGATATTATATAACACTTCAAAAATCAAATACTGATGAGGCTTGGGGATGGGGGTGGGAGGGGGCAAACTGAAGACAGCTCTGTGAAAGTGGAACCAACAACTGCAGCAAAGACCAAGAAACCAGGAGTAGATCAGAAAGCCTCTGCATGTAAGGAAAGGATGGGAGATCACCTATGACAGAATCAGCTCTCAGCTCTCAGACACTGAAGGAGACTTTTGAAGAATGGAATCAGAAAATAGGAGCTACAAGATCAAAAATGTCAGTAATGATGCATGCTTCTAATTTTAACTGACAAGATAGAAGTGGTATTGAAAGTGGACTGATAGGACAAGAGAATGTCTTAAAGAAGGATGTTTCACTGAATCTATAAAAGAAATTGCCTCAGGCTTTAACATTCAAAGGAGAAATACTGTGATAAACCATGAGAATAACCTTGCAATTTTCTCCTACTCAGTTTACAAAAGAGGCTTGTAAAATATCTGAAGAACTCTGTGCAATGAGACAAAGAAGAAATGAAGAGAAAACAAATCCCATGACGATATTTGAATGAATTAAAGGTTAAGATTGTTAAAAGTTGGTTTATAAAGTTGGTGTGTTTGATCAAGGTTAAAACAAGGCATGTTGTTACCTCTGGCAACCCTTTACAGACTTTCTGCTGACATCAGGACTGAAAGGACGAACCTTTATGGATTTGTTTAGATTAGAGATGGAAAACGGAAACAAAGAGTTTGTTTAAGTTTTCTTTAAGCTTAGTTTGTATTAGATTTCATTATTCTTTCACTATTCTTAATGGAAATTATATAAGATGATAGATAGATAGATAGATAGATAGATAGATAGATAGATAGATAGATAGATAGATAGATAGATAGATAGATAGATAGATAGATAGATAGATAGATAGATAGATAGATAGATAGATAGATAGATAGATAGATAAGGGAGGGAGATAGATAGATAGATAGATAGATAGATAGATAGATAGATAGATAGATAGATAGATAGATAGATAGATAGATAGATAGATAGATAGATAGATAGATAGATAGATAGATAGATAGATAGATAGATAGATCGATCAATCACTGGCTTACACTTGTAAATTCAAATTAAAAATTGTAAATTTGTAAACTGATAATTTACTTGCAAATACATAAAGTTATAAAAAGGAAGTCATTTATATCAACACTGATTATAAGCTTAATTATTCCACTGATTTTTTTTCAAGTGTTCCAATGTCTTGGTAGTTAAAATATTGTTAACAACAGAAGCTGAAACAAGGATGAATGTGCTAGAAAATCAGAAGTTATGTTGATCATTAGGAACTAGTCTGCTTGTTAGTGGTGCAAAAGATTTACTGCATTAAAATAATCAGAAAAAAGTTCTGGTTGTACAAAAATTTGAAAAGCTACACTGCAATATACTTAGACATTAAAGTAATTGTACTTTTCCTAAGACTATAAAATATTTGTGGTGCTAAATAAAAGAAGTCAGTTTAATATAATCTTTGTGAGTTTTCTCCAGGTACTTTCTGTTTGTCTAATTTATCTTTTCCACTTGAAAGGTTACTCAAAGTATCTCAAGGTTTGGTAGTATTTATTAATGTATTTTCAGAAGCAAGTCTATATTCTAAAAAATCTATTATTTCTTTATATATCAGCTCATGTACCTTTTAGGAAGAAAAGAATAACTAATTTAACTTACTGCTTTGATATAATTTAGTAGGATTCTGAAAGAAAGACATTGCCAACTTGCAAATATATGAACATTAGCTTGGAAAGAGAAAAAAACTCCATATTTATTCATTAACAGAATTTAAAAAAAACAAATTTATCTGTTATTAATCTCAATAATTAATCTTATCCAATGTCTGGCATTAGATTTTCTCCAAATGCATACTATATTTTTGTTTCACATTAGCCTAAATTTAACACAATGTATCTATATCATACCTTCTAAAATCTGTTTGCTGGATCCCGCAGCCATCTCAATGGGTTGATCATCTGTAAAAATGGTGCAAAGAAAAAAGACATTTATCCTTTCAATGTTAGCTTTTGTTCAAGAAATCATATTATATTTCAAGCACAGCTTCCCGATCTTCATAGCCATAAGAAACCAGGCATTTAAGTTAAAAAATTAAAGTAAATTCTCCAAAACATAGGAAATTTCCAAAGTATTTTTATGCCTTGTTTTAATATAAGATTAAAAACCAAACAAAGCGAGAAGTAATTAGTGTGGCCTCAACCACACTAAAAGTCTAATTGTTTAGTAAAACAGAATAAATACAAAGATAGGATTTCTAAGTAGTGAATAAGTCTGGATAGATTTTCAATTCACATTAAAGAATCAATAAGTCCAGTTGCAAAGGGCTGTATCTTTTTCCAGGAGCAAGGGGCAACCAGGGCAGGCTTCTGCTTTAGCCAAATCAATGCCGGAAAATTATGCAGCTGCTTTAATGAACCACAGTCAGCTGTGGTGCTCATGCTCCTGTGCATTCGAAAATAGCTTTTTTTAATCAAATGAAAAGCATTGTAGAGTCACATGTGCAATACCCAAGTACAGTCAATCACTAGATTAAAAATCAAGAAGCCAAATTACAATCAAGATACTGTATATTAAGTGAAAATTAATACGACAAGAAAATTAACATGAACAATTCAGGAAAGATTTATCCTATGATATTATACAGCTTTAAAGCTGTACTATTAATATCTCAGTAGGTTCCCAGTACAATTCAGTGTGTTAGCTTTAACCTCTGAAGTCCTTTATGGCTTTGCCCCAGGCAATCTCCTTCAAACGTCCTTCTCTATTCAGTCTTCTCATTTCAACAGGGATGAAGGTTTCCCCACCAGCGTGTGTGAAATCTGGGGATGGCCTGTCACCAGATGCTCAATGGATTTTTTTTTAATAGTTTTTGTATATTTTTTAATCAGTAACTATGGACATGGACTTCAGACACTGGCTGAGTTCATGGTTTTATTAGCATTTTATCCGTTTTCTAAATTATCTTATGGCTATTTTGATTCTGATATAGCAAACCACCGTTAGTTTTCTCAGAGTACATAAATATTACAACTAATTTTCTTTAAAAATAGAATGGTGTAGAAAGAACCATTAAACACTGACATGACAAGGGTTCTTTTTTGTTTGTTTGTTTAGTTATACAGAGGGAAGAAGCTCTGCATATGTAAAACTGCCCAATACTGCTCTTTCTCTAATAAATGCATTACATTTACTTGCCAAAATGTAATAAACAACAGCACAATTAGCATTATCTTCCTTCAGGGTAGAAAGATAGCACTGCTGTATAATATTACGCTCAACACAATCCCATAAAAAATGTAGCTAAGTGACAGTACATAGTTAAACTTATTGAATAAATCCATGGAAATTAGAACCCAGATTTAGACCCTTAGCTATTACAGCATTCATATTGATCACGAAGCGCCTGCTTTACATAACAATATGGTTTAAAGCAGAAGTAGAATGGCCATTCTCTCCTCTGCATTTTTTACCTCTCTAAACTAAAATTCCCTGGTTCTTTTTAAAATGTGGTTAAAACTATCCTGTATCTTAAAGAAAATAAAAACAAGTGTAATTTTAATTGCCACCTTTCATACAATATGTTTTTATGTTGATTTGTACACTACCCCAAGTTGGTCTATGAGGGAGATGGACAGTTTCTAAATATACTTAAATATAAATAAATACATATGGCATATCGTATAGACCAGGGGTGTCAAACTGCTGGCCCATGGGCCGGTTTCATCATACCGAAGCTGCGCCCACCCCATTGCCGGTAATGCAAAAAGAGTCGCAATATGTCACGACACGTCACATGACGTGGCGAGTTTGACACCTGTGATATAGACAAATGTCCCAAAGATGCTTTTTCACGAGGCAACGGGACTTTTTTTTTCTCTTCGAAGACGTTTCCTCGTGAAAAAGCTTCTTTGTGACAACCATGACCTGGGTGACTGAGAATCTCCATAGACATATACACAAACTGAAGAATATGCACATATCACAATTTCTCTGGAGCAAACATGATGCATGATGTAGATTGACCTTTTCTAGTAACTGAGATAGGACCAAAGGTTTTCTTACTATTTTCTTTCAAATCATTATTACAGAAACAACAGGAAATTGATTAGCTAGCCAAAGATAAGATTGAAAATTTTCATATCATCTTTGTTACTGGAAGATTTTAGCATCTTTTTGTATCTATAGGGGCATCCCATTTTGAAGACACATAGCATACAGATGGGCAAACCTGCTGCACATTTCCACATACCCACCATGGCAATAATCGTGAGAATGTCCATGCTCATGCTCATGCCCATGGGAGTGGCTGTGTCCATGTTCATGCCCATGCTTGGAATCATGACTGTGGCCATGTCCTCCATGGCCATGGCTGAGACCCCCGTTAAACAGTGAATGGCTGTGTTCATGTCCTGCAGAAAGAAAATTATGTATGTTATTTATCATAATACATATCAAGATTCTGGATTTGATTAAGCTAATAAAAAAGTTGTATATTAAGAATCTAGCGGAAACAGCCAAATACATTCCAGTCTCCATGCATGTAGGTGTTCCCCTTATAAGAGGTAATGTGCTGTAATTAAAGGGACTGCAAAATCTACACTGGAACAATGTAACTGAATTTGTGGATTTTATTTATTTATTTGCATCATTATTATACTATCCCAAGCTACGTCATAGTCCTGAAAAAAAAAATGTAATTGTTTTTATGTGATGAATTAATGAACCACAGCAGCTATTTTAGAAGCCCTGATCTTTCTTCCTTGCAGGAAAGGATGTCTTTAAGATGGCATCAGCATTTGTCAGTTTCATGAATATTTATATTAAATTTATATTAAAATGTATATTTAAAAAATGTCTGCAGACCGGTTTAGCTTCCTGACTGAAAAGTGCCCCTGATTAATTGAAATTAATTAATACATTAACACACCTTAAGTGTAATTACATTGTATCAATAAGCTATCTTGCTTTTACTTATTACTTTTGAAGCACCAGCTGAGCCACACGTTTTGGATAGATACAAATGGAAAACTGTGGTTTAATAAGTCAGAATACAATCAACATGCCAAAAATATATGGAAAGGAGTATTGGGGGGGGGGGAACATGGCTTTATTCTGACTTTACCTATAACCCAAAGCACACCATGCCAGTTCAAATAAAAAAGTTCGCATTTCCATATCAATTACTCCTTCGTTATTGCAAACTATAAAATGTTTCACTTCAAGCGCCACAATATGGCAAAGGATTTTCCCTATTTTATACATTTCTAAAACAAATTAGATAAAAAAAAGTTCCATTTGTTCAAATGATGTAATAGTGTCATTTTAAGCTTCTATCCCAGTGGTGGCGAACCTATGGCACGGGTGCCAGAGGCGGCACTCAGAGCCCTCTCTGTCGCCCAAGTCCTAGGCCTTCAGCTGGGTTTTATAAAACCTTTTCGCTTTAGGCCTCCGCCGCCGTGTGCAAAAAAAAACCAAACCCCGTTCAAACAGTCAATTTCAACTTCTTGCGGAAGAAAAAAAAGATCTTGCAAAGTTGGAACTGACTGATTGAACTTTTTAGTCCCACCCAGTCTGCCGTTACCACCGCAGCCACGCCCACCCAATGGGCCACACCCACCCAATGGGCCACACCCACCCGGCACCCGACGATGCGTAAGTGGGTTTTGGGTTGCGGTTTGGGCACTCGGTCTCTAAAAGGTTTGCCATCACTGTTCTATCCTGTTTTGACTAAATTAAAGAGACACGGCCTCTTTGCACGGCCTTAACACAAGGGGCAAAACAAAGGTGTTTTGAGGCCTCTCAGGGACAAGTCCGTGATACAACAAAGTGGCAACATTTCCTACCAGAACCATGAGAATGGCCATGTCCACCATGTTGGAACACAAAGATTCCTATCAGATTTACAAGCAACCCAAGTATGGAAACAGGAAGGAGTCTTTCATGATGCACATCAGGAGGCTCAAGTGCTCTCTGTAATAGAGAAACAAACCCTTTCAGTGAAACTCATACATACTGTCCATCTCACTAATGAGCTTTTTCTCAACTTTTCATAAACATTAGCACAGTCTAATTCAGAATGTTAGTTATTTTTGCTAGAAACCAAAGGTAGGTTGCTAAGTATTCACAGTGTAATCTCATTTAACACTGGAACTCAAATCATTCCAAGAAACAGGCTGATGGGAGATTTGGGACATAATCACCAAGTGCATAAATAATGTATGGCATTCAATGAGGAAAAATAAGAAGGATGGTTGCAATTTAGATGGGATTTTTTTTAAATTTTAATTTTTCCTTTTTTTCCACTGTACAACAAAAATAAAACTGAAAAAATACATTTTTTTCCCTTAACAAAACTGTGTTATACATCTCCTATATATTATTTACAATTTATTTACATCCGTAATCGTGTCTTTTTCTTTCTTTGTTCTAGCCAATCATAACATTTGTTCCATATTTCATAAAATTCTGTTGCCTCCTTGTCTTTTAATTCTAGCGTAAATTTATTCATTTCCGCACATTCAAGAATTTTGTATATAATCACATCGTTTGTAGGTATGTTTTCACCCTTCCAACACTGAGCATATACTATACGGGCTGCTGTCAATATATGTATAATGATGTGTTGGAGTTGCTTTTTGATCTTTAAATTTATTATACCCAGAAGAAATAGTTCAGGTTTGAATTCAATTTGCACCTTGGTTATCTCCTGTATCCAGTGCCCTATCCGTTCCCAATAGCTCTTTGCTTTGAGGCACAGCCACCACATGTGATAGAACAGTGTTTCTCAACCTTGACAATTTTAGGGCATGTGGACTTCAACTCCCAGAATTCCACAGCCAGCATTGCTGGCTGTGGAATTCTGGGAGTTGAAGTCCACATGCCTTAAAATTGTCAAGGTTGAGAAACACTGTGATAGAATGTTCCTTCCTTATTTTTACATCTCCAGCATTCCGGATTCATATTTTTGTACATTTTGGCCAATCTCGCTGGTGTTAGATGGCTTTTTAATTGGCACTAAACATACCCATGATGAAAAGGCAACTAATAATTCTAGATATTTCTGGCTACATGTAACATTCAGATTCTAAAAAATTACTGCCTATAAATACCAGTTACAGAGAGCAGTTGAATGAAGAAGCCTTAAGCTTTCATGTCCAAGTTCTTAAGGCCATTTGACTAGCTACAGAAGGAAACAAGACACTGGAATAAATGGATATTTTTAATCTGATCCAAAAGTGCTTTTTCCAGGTAAACTATACTGTTTGTGACATCATTTTACATGAATTACTGCATATCAAAGAGGAGTCACATATAGCTTTGCAGAATGAGAGAAATTTTTTTCACAAGTGTTGTAATGTTAAGTGAACATAATAAAATTAACATATTGTGTGATCGACAGGACTGCCGTTTTACATACATTTTTAAAGTCTTGAAGATTTGAGAATGCCAGATTTTCAACATTATTATGGGGAAAAAAACCAATGGGATCATATTCCCTGAAGAATTAGTGTTGATATGTAAGGTTACCATCCTCTGCATAATTACTACCGTACTGAGTAAATCTCGCTGAATTTCATGTCACTTGTTTCTGCAGCTTATTTAAAACTGTTATTGTCAAATCCTGAAGACATTCTAATTCATTTCCTATCCAACTGATTCACTTGCTAGACAACTAGGCAAGACTTGTTTATCTATTGAACTTATACTCTGCCACCATCAAGTGATTCTCTTTTACATTATCTGGGCTTGCACTTAGCAATAACTTCCTCCAAGCGAGCATAACTGGATTTTTAAAAAAACCTCACTTGCTGTACAAAAACCTCTTCCTTGAACAGAGAAAAATATTTTAACCATCTTCAAAACATACCTCAACTCCTTCAGAGAAAATGAAGAAAGCAGTGAAGATCAAAAATAAACCATTTACAAAACCAGCTAATACTTCTGCTCGAACGTACCTAAGATGAAAAAGCACAAAATTTCATTCTAAATTAATGCAAAACCACGACTTATTTCATGCCTTATTCTTTCTTTGCCACTGTTCTGGCTAATACAGAACATAAATACTATGTGCTTTGTTTGATCAGTCATCCAAATAAGTAGAATATAAAGAGGGAAGATGTGGGGCTCTTAGCACTAAAGAGTACATAATTAAGTCTCCCCTTCTTAGTCTTGAAATACAGTACTTCAACTATTTCAACTCTTCCTCATTCCATTTAACTTACATCTTATATTATAGCAAGACATTGGTAGAATAAAAACAATATAAAAGGAAAGAAGTAGACAGGTTGATTTTCATGGGCTTCACTTTTATCTCCCATATATTGCCTTCAGCAATAAAAGTACACTGCACACCCTTTACTTTATACCAAAATTGAGTGCTATACATTTAGTATAGAGATCAACAGATGGGAAGATCAGCATCTAACAGTAGATCTCTTGATGATGTGATGTAGATATCACGAACTGCTGACATCCTACTATTGAACAACAATGATGAAGCTCATCACTTTATAATTATATTGAGAAAATAACTATTGCGGAGTAAAAAAAAGGAATGGATTTTTGTGTGGGAAGATTGCATTTGCAGTTTACTTTTGATACTCAAACAAATTCCTGAACTCGGGATTCTTAAATTCAACGTGTATTATGTTGTATACTTAACGTGTATTACTTTTTTGTGCATGATTCAGAAGTTAATGACATACCATTCCTATGTAATATTGACAAGAAGACTACATGGATGTGTTTAAGTAATCACCAGAAGTCCAACAAAAAAGGGGGAGATTTTTCTTTTAGGAAAAGAGAGAATATATATGTCATATACGTGTGTGTGTGTGTGTGTGTGTGTGTGTACACACACATACATATACTGTACACACACACACAGGTTTACAAATGTAGTTTCTATATCAGCAAATAAAAGCTATCATGAAAACAAGTAAGGCTTGCAGGTAGGCCTCTACTTACAACCACAACTGAGATTGGAATTTCCATCATAAGCTGATGCAGTCATAAAGCAAGATGTCATGTCACGGCATCAACTTATGACAGAAATCCCAGCACTCTCTACTGTGATTAACCAAATATCCACCCCAATCTAAATCATTCTGGGCTTGGTCCCTCCCAGTCCCAAACTTCATTAAGATGTGGACTGCCTCCAATTTCCTGCACCCATCCATCTCTCCCTATCACATGTAGGCCCTGGTGGCCTCGCTGTTATCCTGACCTCTAAGAGGAAAGTTAAAGTCAATGTATGGATGAAAGGAGAAAAATTCTATAGCATAAAGAGAGGTGTTATTATATAACACCAGATGAAGGCCAATAGCAGCTACAAAGTGCATTCTGTAACTTTCACACAGGGTAGGAAGTGACAATCCCACATAGAAGAAAAAGCCAACAAGAATGGGAACCAGAAGGGTTCATCTATTTGAAGGAAGATTATAGAAGTTTCAAACTTGAAAAGCTCAGCAAATGTTTTCTGGGTTTAAAAAACAGCACTAAGTAACAGCTGATGAGTTTGGCATGGTGAATTTTACTACAATGTTATTAATATCAAGAAGGAAACTACTCAAGGCACGTATGGGAGATTGGGCTCCTCTCCTGCAAAAATTTACTGAAATATAGTATATTTTTCAAACTCATTAGCCAAATATTTATAGCCTGATTCCGTTAACCATTATAGTACAAATCCCAGACTGCTTTATCAGCATGTTATAATAAAACTACATGGTGATTGTTTCAACAAATAGCTTTTCAGAACTTGAACACTTACCCATAGGAAAAAGCATCATTTGATCTCCACTTTGAAATGACTGAAGCTGCAAGCCCAGCTAACAGAGCAGTACAATCAAAAAACATGTGAAATGAATCTGATATTAAACCTAGACTGGGAATATAAAGATAAAAAAACAGAAGGTTATACAAAGTAAAATACATTAGAACATTTTTAAAAAATCCTGGTAGTTAAAAAAAATGGTAGTAACAGTGACAATGTCCCTTTGGACCTGTATTTACTGAAGTTGTTATCCCCCCCCAAATATCTCACAATACATACACACCTCACTAAAAAAAAGTGCTGTCCATTCAAGACCAATAACCAATTTAAGTGAATTTATCAATAAATACAAGTTTAGTTTAATTTAATTTAAAAAACAAATACCAAATAGTACTATTCCATTCCATAACTTTGTTACAAGGTCACCAATGCAAATAATGCTATACTTCACTGTTTTTTGAAAAATGAGACATGATTTGATTGGGCTGGAACTATTATTCACACCAAATATAAATATATGCATATATATCCTCTTAGTAGATTTTTGCCTTCATTTCAAAGTGCAGCTTTCATTATGACTTCTTACAATGAACTATGTTAGCAAGAGTTACTAACAAATCCTCAAATTTACAGCTGGATTAAAAAAGGAATAATACCTTTCATTAGGCTCATTTCATAAACTTATTTGAGTCAAATGGAATTAATCGGAATCCATTCTGAGACACTGACAGAATGCATTCTTAGCCAACACAAAGCTGCCTCAATATGTTGCATTAGCTTTGGAGTTCCTTCCTTTCCAAATTTCCACCCATGAAGCAAAGAAGGTATTGATTGAGGAAGAGCTTTCTTTGTCAAAGAACATTAGTTATGGAACACTCTCACCATGAATGCTTCCCACTTCTTGACCATTTTTTCAGGTGCTTTAAAGTTGACGTACAGTAGTTCAACTTTAAACCTTTCTGACACAAGTATCCTCCATCCAACAATCCAATTAGGCTAAAATCTATGCCAGAAGTCTGATATAAATGCTGTAATTATAAAGTAACCTAGTTCAAACACTCTCCAAAGTTTAATAGAAATACACAATTTAAGTATCACCTTTCCCTGACCATCGATTTATCAATTGTTTAAGCTTAATTCCACCCTCTCTGGTGATTATTTAGATTGGATGGCTAAAAAAAAGAGTATTTATTATGAAGATATTACTTCATACAAAGGCTATACTTTCTATTCTACATTGGAGTTCAAGAGGTGATAGGTGTCATAGTACTCTGGGACAATTTTCATTTCTGTTGCTTCTAAGTCTGAAGGAAGCTAAACTGCTTAGTACACTCAAAAACACCACACTAGCTAAGGCAGGCCAAAGTGCTGAAGGTTTAGAAATATCACAAGGAATAAAAACCAATCTAGTATTAAAAGTAAATACATATTTATTAGATTTCAATTTATATGTCCTAACATAAAGTTATCCAGACTTTTCCCTAGCATCTTATATTAAGACATACCATCATAACAGATACATGCTCAAATGTAGAAACTTATTTGCAAAATGAATTGTGTTACTCATTTACGTAGTACAGTATGCTTCTGTACCAGCCAAACCAGCAAATGGATGAATACTGAATAAGCTGCTCTGGTATGTCACCTTTGACTTTAACCCAAAGTGCTAGATTTTGTTTTAAAACTATTGTTTCTTGTTTTAATGTGATTTACTAGATGCTTAAGAAATAAGATCATTTTACATATAGTGATCATGTTTCATTTTTGATAATTCTACAGGCCAGGTCTCTCTACATTTTTTGATTGGGTATGGCTTCTTTCAAGTGTTTTATTTTACATATTTTATTTTACATATATTTCCCCTATTTTATGGAGTGACAATTTCCTAGAAATGGTTTGAACTTTAATTCTTATCATCCACAGCTAGTATGGCTGCTAATTAGAGAAGACAACTGAAATCTAACTACATTTTGGAGGGTCATGGATTGCTTATTCCTGCTGTCCCTAATATTTTTGGCATACACAAAGTGTACACAATATAAATATTGTGAAGCTGCTCTGCCTCCTTATATTGATAATTATATATTTTGAGGGGGAGGCTCACAGAAACAGGCCTTAGCATACAAGAAATTAAAAAGAGCCTATGCATAAGCATCTGTGGGAAGTGGGGAATGACTCCATTGCATCATGCTCCACAATACCAATTTTATTATTTTAATGAAATCACTGGACTCTACAGAACCATTTGTGTCATGATTTCTCTCGAGCTGCTAATATCTCTTGTCCGTTTGGGGACATGAAGCCGAGATAACTAAATGGGTGATAGTCTGATACACGTTTGCACAATTTTAGTTTTGACCTGAACCTAAATTGTAAAGGCACTTCTCTCTTCCAAAAAATAAGCTATGGCTTCTATAGATGCATACAAATCCCAGCCACCAGAACCCACAATTAATTTATGTAAACATTAATATCTGTGAAAAAATATATAAAAACACCTATACATTCACTAAGTTCTAGTTCAACAACTTAATAAATGCAGTGCAAATGGCATCACAATTAAGACACTTTGTGGAGCAATTACATTGTACTAAATAAGAGCTGCTCATTACTGAACCTGTTTAGACACCTCAACAGTTCCGTCCAGACTGAATCAACTGTAGCTGGACAAGTTAATGAATAACACATGACAATCCCTTTAGGAGTAATTGTTTCTTCAACTCCTGTACATTAAAAAAAACAAAAAACTGGCTCAGCAATAATCATCTAAACATGGCAGAGAGGACCGGATATTGGAGAGTAGGGTTGCCAGGTGTCCACTATTTGAGTGGACAGTCCGCTTTTTTCACATTATGTTCACTATTTTTTTTCACATTATGTTCACTATTTTTTTTCACAAAACAGTGGACATTTTTTTTTATTCAAAAGCTTTATGATGAAATGGTACGTAATCTAAAGCTGTACAGTCTACTTTTTTTAATACTTAACCACCACCACCCCGCTTGTCCGCTATTTTTTGGAAGCAGACCTGGCAACCCTATTGGAGAGAGACTGCAGAATTTTCCCAGGTACATAGGATGATAATCTGAGTGATCTGCCCAAACCTTTCTGGTTTTCCCCTTGCAGCTTAAACAAATCAGCTTCTACTAACAGGTGTCTTAAGAAAAAAAAGCCAGTGCTCCATGATCAGGTCTCAAGTAGCCCAGGAGAGGAAGCCTGAATATTGGCTTTCCCCAAAGCCAATGGCACTTCTCTTCCAGAGCCGGCCATCCCCTTTGGCCCCGGCCAGAAGGAGACGTGGCAACGCCAGCAGCGCTGAACTTGACTTTCCAGGCAGAAGCGCCGCCTCTCTCTCTCTCGGGCTCCCCCTCCCTCGCCCTCCCCCTTCGTACCTGTTGCTCCAGATGCCGTACAGCAGCTCCACGAAGGCGAAGGAGAGGTTGAGGCAGAGGAAGAAGAAGAGGTTGCGCGACGTCTTGTCCGAGAGGATCGACCTGGAGAAAGAGGGGCGGGAGAGGGTCAAGCCAGGAGGCCAGACCCGGCTTCCCGCAAAAGCCCAGCAAGGCCTCGCAGGGAAGCGGAAGGAGAGAGGAGGTGGCTGGGACCGTCCCCGCGCTAACGAGAGTCGCAAACCGCATTCCCCACCACCACACACACACATACACACCTTGGTTCCGGTTTCCACGAGGAAACACGTCCCGGACAGCCAAGGCCTCGAAATCTTTCCCCCCCCCCGCTCCCACGACCCGCCTCTTCCCTGGCTTAAGCCCCTCGCCCGGCCGAAGAGACCCCGGCCCCTTCTCTCGACTGCATTCCCAACGTTACCCGGACCCCTCCTTTTGCCAGCGAACCTCCGCCGGGGGACGATGGGAGTTGGAGTCCACGCCAAACAGGGAGACAGATGCTGCTAAAGGGCAACCCGCGGTTCCCTCCCGCCTGGCCAGCCGGCTGATCCATTTAGACGAGGAAACGAAGAAATCCCCGTCCCGATCTCTCCAACTCTTCTTCCCCACCCCCACCCCCCCCGTAGATCCGGCTCCCCGTCTGCAAGCCCCGCGGCTAAATTCGGTTTCAATATTCAGCCCAGCCGAGGAGGCTCCTTCCGTGCCCCCCTCGCCGATAGTCAAAGCCACTCATCCCCGGCCTCGAGTTGGGCACGATGGGGTTCCCGCTGCCCCATTTTCTCCTCTTCTCGTCCGCCTGTTCACCTCCCACCCACGGGAGGCTCCCGGCTCCCTGACACCCATCCACCCCCAGGCTTTTCCCGGCAGCTCGGGTGATGTGTTCCCCGCCGCCGCCGCCCAACTCGCTCTCACCTGAACCATCCCGAGACCTTTCGGAGCAGATGGAGCTTGGGAGGCTTGTACTCGTCGTCCTTGATGGACAAAGGCAGCATCTTTCCTAGCGGCGGAGGGGAAAGCCGGGGCCTCGCCTGGCGTGAGGGGCCGAGAAAGCAGCGACTCCCCCAACTCTCGCTTGTCGGCCAGGCAGCCCGCCTGCAAGGCAAAAGCCGGCCTCTCTCCCGAGCACCGACTTCCGGCCCAGCCGGAGCCAAGCGTCGCTAGTGAGCTTGCGCAGTAGGAAGGTGGGGGGGGTGGCTAAGTCATGTCACTATGAGAAAAAGGAGGAAGGATGGGTTGCTCTGTTTAATTTTACTCTGTATAAGTGGCGTGATGTACTGTACAGCGATCTGTGCTTCGACACTGATGCTGCACTAGGAAGACGGAAGTATATTGACTTGAAGTAATACAGGTTTACAGCCGATCCTTCACATGTACGCTTCGCTGTAATCTCCCACAGTGGGAATACCTCTACACGACACTACAGATATGCATGCTGCAAAGCAGTAAATTCTATTAATGGGTATTATCCCAGGTCAACGGCTCTAGGATTGTTGCCTAAGAATTTTTACTTTACCAAGCTAAGGAAGTAGGATAACCTATGGACTTCAAGGGTTCTTTCCAAAAGAAGCAGTTAAGAGTCCATGCTGATTGGATGCCACGTCATTAATAAATCAATCCAAAATAAAAAAATCAAGTGCATTAACAGGAATAAAAGAACGCCATTTCGGAAATACGTTGAACATAGTTCAGACCCCTGCCAGAGAATAAAGGAGAATTGGTTTTTCTCTGCAATGAGATCCTGAGGGAGAAGAAGAAGCTGGGTAAAGAGTACAATACCTCCTCTAGTCTCAGTAAGCTACGTTATCCATAGTTCCTCTGCTGCCCATAACCAGCACCAAAGGAACCATTTTCCACCAACCTACTTCACTTTTCCATCCCACTCTACCTCCATTACTCCTGCCACCTTTTGTCATGGGGAGTAGGCACGGTGGGCAGAAGGGGAAACTGGATTCTCACCCTTTCCCACAGGGTGTGGGCTACAGAGCCTGTGCATGCACACACACATGCAAAATAATCCACCTATAGAATGATTGAAGATTATTTGCTCCCACTTTGCTTTCCAGAATAGAACCACTACCCCCCCCCCCAGGGAACTACCTTTCTGTGTGAACAGAAACAAGGGGAAGCAATTCTTCAGCTAGATAGAAGAAGGTATTTTGGGGACAGGGAGAACAGGCATTAAAAAACCTGTTTCTCCACATTACCTCCTTCTGTCACTCATAGATTAATCAAAGGCACAGGAGAGGTGACTTTTCAGCACCACAACAGACGCTCAATTATCTTGGCTTAAAGGCAAATAACCAAGGGGTATGACCCCAGCAGCTAAGTTGTGGGCAGGAGCAGCAAGATAGGCACTGGCCTTATTTTTTTTTCCTTCTTTTCAGTTGTATCCGATTTTTAGAGACTGCCTGTTAAGTCCCTGCAGTTTTCTTGGCAATGTTTTGGTTTGCCATTGCTTCCTTCATAGAGCTAAGAAAGCAACTAGCCCAAGATCACCCAGCAGGCTTTGTCCCTAAGGCAGGACTACAACATATGGCATTTTAATTTCTAGCCATATGCCTTAAACCACTACTGGTTTTTCACCCTCTTAAATTTACCATGAAACAATTTCCACAAATTGATTTTGTGGAAAAAATTAGAAAGTGCTACTTTTGAAGGAGATCAAGAAAAAACAGTAGGAGGCTGCCTTTGCAGTGGGCTGGATGCAGGTTGAGGATGTTTTGCATTTATGATTTCAGCATATGGTTAGTGTGGCATCTTTGTGTTGGGACAAATGGGGCATGCCAAATTATAATTATAGTTTTTCCCACAGTCAGCCAGATGTTTAAACTGGATTTGACATTTTTATCCACCTATCAAGTCCTTCCCAAGAACCTAGAACAGGCAGAAGTTATATGATGATATTAAAAGTAGGTTGCAGGACATAAGCTGTTCCAAGTAAAGCTGCCTTTTACAATTGATTTACAGTGATTTTGTCAATGCTGATAGTGTTCCAGTGGTGCTCTAGTTGTTTTGGAATTGCATCCAAAGTGCCTATCTCTATCGGTACTGTCTTTGCTTTCTGTTGCCATAGTTCTATTCTTATTTGTAGATCTTTGTATTATGCAGATCTTTGTATTATTATTTTAAAAAGGGCTTTCTTTTAATAAAATGCGTTGGTCTGAAAAGGTGTTACCAGACTCCTCCTGAATTTTGCCTGCCATAGACTTAACACGGCTCTCCCTTTACAGCCTTTCCAGAATAGGAGAGGCTGCAGTAAGGAGGGGACGCCCAAAATAGGCTTCACGACGGAAGAAAAATCAGTCTAGCTGGGGAAAAGAGAAGAAGGACGGAAATCCCTTATTCTATACCTGCAAGATTATTACCGACTCGTCCCCTCGCATTGGCAACCGCCGGAGCCCGGAGGAGGGGCGCTTTCTCCCAACAGGAAGCACAGGGAGACAAAAAAGGAAGGGACTGCGAGGCCGGGTCCATCCCCCTTTGGCGTTCCTCTAACGTTGCGATGGATGTTTTTTTAATTGCGATTGAATCGAGCTGTGCAGCGCTAGACGTTTGCAAGTCGGAAGCGACGCCTTTGATAACGGCATCCTAATTCCCGAGGCGATCGCTCCTGCTGATATGCGAACTCTCTCTCGGGCCTCGGCCTCCCCTTGTTTGCAGGTGAGCAGGGGACAGTCTGAAACTGTGATTGTGGTTAAGAAGCTATGCAGTGTCATATACACTGCGAGAGGTGTGGGGGGGGGGAGCAAGAAGAAACATTTTGTGGTTCCGTAGAGGGCCCACGGGAGGGGGTCGGGGAAGAGACGTAAACTGAAGGATCAACAAAAAATTTTTATTATTCAAACAATAATTTACTGGATATTTTGCTTTGATCTCACTGGTGTGTCGTTTTGCGTTTGTTTTATGGACTTACAAGGGGACGAGAAAAATAAATACTGTAGTAGGGTATTGCGGGGATTTCATAATGCCCAGGAGAAGGAGTTGTATATTCGTCTTTGCGTCACTGACAACCCTATCATACTGTATATCGTACAGATCTTCCTTACAGACTTGAATCCCTATAAGATAATATTTTGCTCTAGGGTCTAATACATTTAGAGTCTAGATGTATTAAAAGTAGGATGATAGCCCCCCTAAAAAAGAGAGGTGCTGACCCTGCATCAACCACAGTCTTTCCCCACATTTGTACCTACACTATCCTTAGCTTTTAGGAAAACTCGTAGATGACTATTCAGAATAATAAGCCTTCCCCTGGCTGATTCCCTCCACATATCTTGGACTCATCCTGGGAATTCTGGGATTTGAAGTCCGATATCCAGAGTGCAGCAGTTATGGAAAGCTGCTCCAAAAGAACTAATCAAATATACTTTGGCTTATTTATTTATATGTTTAATTGATTCATATCCTGCCTTTTGTACAGGAATGAAAGGCAGTGTTCATAATGCTTCTTAAACCATGCAGCTTTGTATCACTGTCACATTTAACACAAAACTCTTGTATAAATACACTTTTGGGACTGGAACCTACTGAGATTGTTGGGCCTTTTCTCCAGAGTTGTATAACATGGAGCTGCAAATAAAAAATATTAAATTCATGGCTTTAAACAGATGAGAGTATCACGAAACCCAGGGACAGATTTTCCACAAACACCTTTGTCCTAAAGCAGTTGCCTTACTTCAAGATGATTCAGAAAAGTAATGGCCAATGAAGAACTCATGCCTATCAATACTCTCCCTTACAATATTGTCAGTTTTTTTGTGCAAGAGAGGCTACCAGTCATAGTTAACCTTCCTAAAATAAGAACCGATAAATGCATTGATCCAGATGTGATGTGTCAGCAAAAAATTAAAACCATCTGGTGGACAAGACAGAACATTCTGTTGAAAACAGTTAGTGTGTCTGTTTTTGTTTACTAAGTAAATGCATGATCTGTTTGGAAGTGAGTTTATATTCAGAGGCTCTCATTATAGAAATTGCTATATAATGAAGACAAGATTGCACATTTTGGCAGAAAGGTGTATAAAAACAAAGATGTGAGATCTCGTCTCTTTACAGTGATAGACTGTAGAAATGTTAACAACATCTAACAGACACAATTTGAATGAAAAAGGCTTTGCTTACAAATGTCTTTGCTAGTCCCTATTATCTTATGCCTGCATGCAAGGTAGAAATTCAGGGAGTTGCAGTCTCAGTACATTTGGGAGGTCATCAAACTGGGAAAGGATGGCATAGCTCCTAAAGCAATATGGCAATGCCTAATTTTAAATTACTTCATTTTCCAACAGAAGTAAAGTTTATCCTAAACCAAGAACTCTGATAAACACAGGAGAAAACTTCCTTTGCAGGAATGAGGTAAGTTCAACCAAATAGGATTCCTCTGTTGGATTGCTTTTTGTGCTTTTTAGAAATTAAAACATTATTTGTTTCTAATGCCTAGAGGAAAAACATAGCATTGTCCATGTTTAAATATTTAGAAATGTAACTGCTACTTGGCTTCCTATATAGAGATATTTGGATAGAGTTGCTGAACCACAGTGTATACATCATTTATATATTAATTATCAGTTGCTCAATTCACTGCATAATCTCTTCATTGAAAATTATGGACCATAATCTACCATGCTTGTCTACTGCAGAGGCAGATTTTTTTTAGATGTCCAAGTCTAGGATTGAGAGTGGCTCTTCCAAAGTTATTTAACAGGCACTTGTGCCTAAAGAGAATTAGAACTTGGGTATCCCTACTCCTAATCCAGAATCACTTTAACCATCACAAAGTTGAACATTTATTTTAGCATGTGGTACTTCTTTATTTTAAATGCGTTTATTAAATTTACTTCCTGTCTTTCCTCTAAGAGCTCAAAGTGTCTTTTATCAATATCTGTCTTCATTTTATCTTCGAAAAGCATCTCTGTGAAGTACGTAGAGGAGAGAGAATGGCACTGGCCCAATCAACTGAATGTTGGATTCCCCCATCCCGACCAACACTTGAACTACTATATTGCACTATCTTTTAATATGTGGGAATTGACACTTAACTGGGTTATTAAATTATCCCAGTCAGTCATAATGTAAATGAATTGACTGGGTACACGTAACACACAATCTGGTTAACCATGTTATGAACTCAGCAGTTAATAGTTAACTTGTGTGGACGTTAAAATGTTTTCAAGAAGACATTTACAGAAATGCTTTGGACAACCTTCCCCAATCCAGTATTATTCAGATATGATAGGATGATAAGTGCCGGAACAATCAATACATATGGCAGTTGTAGTTTGACACATCTAAAGTGTACCACATTAGAAAGAGCTTGCACACATTATAGCAACTATCTTTATTTCATGTGTAACTTTGCTGTGTTATCATCCATCCCTCAGAAGCCAAGATTGCTTGTCATCCTACTATACTCACAGCAAGTATCATGATATCCTGTAGTTCACAACAGTTCTTCATTGGGAATGGGTTTGTGAGAATTCTTCATTATACATGTTGAATAACAATAACAGAGTTGGAAGGGACTTTGGAGGTCTTCTCCCTGCCCAAGCAGGAAATCCTATACCATTCCAGACAAATGGCTTTCCAATCTTTTCTTAAAAACCTCCAGGGATGAAGCACCCACAACTTCTGAAGGCAAGTCATTCCACTGATTAATTGTTCTCACTGTCAGGAAATTTCTTCTTATTTCTAGGTTACTTCTCTTTTTGATTAGTTTCCATCCATTGCTTCTTGTCCTATCTTCGGGTGCTTTGGAGAATAGGTTGACCCCCTCTTCTTTGGGGCAGCCCCTTAGATATTGGAAGACTGCTATCATGTCACCCCGGTCTTTATTTTCATTAAATGAGACATACCCAATTCCTGCAATCATTGACTCACCTTAGTTCTAGTAGCATACATATAATGAAGGAAATTGCATTACACTGTAATTTCAGGTTAGTTTGAAAATTTTCTTTGGTCTTGATTTGAAGATAACTGATTAATCTGTTTATTTTGTCATTGTGATTTTGCAAAATGCATATTTAATCATCCAGTGGTTGGAATTTTGAGGATTCCCCAGGGTTTTCTCAAATGCCTCTAGAAATTTACCTCAGAGTTTGGGGTGATTCCATAGCTCCTGGTTATTGTGCCTAATGTATCATGTTTTGTTGATAAGAGATGTTGGTGTTACTGGCTTTGAGTCATTTTCATGATAATCCATGCTTTTCTTACAAATTATGTTGCTTTGGCTTTTCAAACTATTTGCTGTTGTAAAACTGAAATTCTCCCCCCCCCCCCATGTATTATAGGTACAGAACTAAAGGTGATGTACAAGTTAGTATCAAACATCAGTCAGTTATCATATTGTAGTGGTGAAGAGAAGTAGATTGGGAAATACTAAATTATTGTTTTAATACCAGCATAAGCATTCTCTCCTTTTTTTTCTAATTAGACTTAGAGAAGAAGACTTAAGGAATCAAAGTTGTGGGGGGTTTTTTTAGAGAAAAGACTGCAGTTTCAGTTTTTATACAAGGCAAAAATGAACTTGGATCTGTCCTTTGTCCTAAGTCAGTGATGGCGAACCTTTTAGAGACCGAGTGCCCAAACTGCAACCCAAAACCCACTTATGCATCGTCGGGTGCCGGGTGGTCGTGGCCCATTGGGTGGGTGTGGCCCATTGGGTGGGCGTGGTTGCGGTGGTAATGGCAGACTGGGTGGGACTAAAAAGTTCAATCAATCAATTCCAACTTTGCAAGATCTTTTTTTTTCCTGCGAGAAGTTGAAATTGATTGATTGAACCTTTTTTTTTTTTTGCACACGGCGGCGGAGGCCTAAAGTGAAAAGGTTTTATAAAACCCAGCTGAAGCCTAGGACTGGGGCGACGGTGCGCGTGCCCACAGAGAGGGCTCTGAGTGCCGCCTCTGGCACCCGTGCCATAGGTTCGCCACCACTGTCCTAAGTGAATGATGTCCCTTTTGTTGCATTGCATTGTAATAGCTCAAGTTTGAAATCCATCCAATATTGTCCTACAGTACTGCACTCTTGTGAGCCTTATTCCTTGTTATTATTGCTCTCAGTTGTCAAACTTCATACCTGAATTCATCAGTAAGTCTTAGCTCCCCACTAGACAAAAACTGAAAAAACTAATCTTGTCCCAATGAATGTACAGATTGTGAATCTGTAGCTAGTCTGCCCTGGTTTATTGAAAATGTAATGGGAAGACTAAGCAGAGTTGCAGAGATTCCTGGGAGTGTTGATGGTGATTTGTAAAGTTGTTGTCTTTGATAGACTCTGAGCATAAAGGTTGATCATCAAAAGTTTCAGCCTAACAGGAGGTTGAACAGACTAAGTGGGCAAAGTATATTTGGGTGCAGTGGAGAATTCAGTGAAGATACTCATGGCATCATTGTCCCAAAGATGCTTTTTCACGAGGTAACTGGACTTTCTTGTTTTTCTTTGAAGACGTTTTGCTTCTCATCCAAAACAACTATGGCCTGGATGACTAAGAATCTCCATAGTCATGGCATCATTATTGATTAAGGCCTATAGTGATTTAGTGCCCCCACCTTACAAGGACAAAGCCTTTCAGTGGCTGGCATTTTGCAGTACTCCAACCCTGCTGACACTAATGGCGATGATTCAATTTGATATGCAATGCAGTAAAAAAATTAGAGTTTCCTGTTTTGCACAGACAATGAAAAGAAGTGTTAACTTAAATATCAAGTTCTTCAATAGATCATAAATTATATCTTACTTTTAAAAAACAAGACATTTTATTTAGGAACTTTGTTCTGTTTATAAACAAAAAGCTTGATCCAATATCTTATAATTACTATTTTTGGGAAGAAATTGCTACATATATAATTGTTACTACATATATAATTGTGAGACACGATTTAATAAACTCAAATGTTCATATTTTTATGAGCGTTGTTCCTATTGTATGGAAGTTGACACTAGAAGAAAAAAACAGATTGTTTATATGCTCTACTTACAGCTAAAAGACTAAAACAACTCTATGGTTTGTGGAGATTTTATTAGCAATATACAGATGAATTACTTTACTAACAGAGATTAGCTATAGTTTATTCTAATGAAATATAGCTACCATTTATTGAAATGTTTGTGTAGAATTTTCATTTCATCTCAAGTACAGGGCCCAGGATTTATTTATTTTTTTAGAACAACAGAGTGTTCATTCATTGGTTGTAACAGGATTTCCAAACCATCTTATTGCTTGATCCTAATGCTGTGACTTGAGAGAGTGACTGGCCCAAAGTTACCCAGCCAACTTTCATGCCTAAGGCAGGATTAGAACTCATGGTGTCTAGCCTGGTGCCTTAACCACTAGACTAAATGGGCTCTCAACCTAGTGTTGATCCATCGGTTTGGATAAGAATTGACTGATTGGCTTATTGCCCAAGCCTGACATCGTGGGCTGAGAGAGAATATAGAATAGCCATGAATATATGTCTTGTATATTTTTGTTTGCTTGTCCACCTAGCAGTTGAAAAGTATATAAATGCAAGTAGATAAATATCTATGGAGATTCTCAGTCATCCAGGCCATAGTTATCCCAAAGGTACTTTTTCACAAGGCAACTGGACTTTTTTGTTTTTCTTTGAAGACATTTCACTTCTCATCCAAGACATTTCTTCAGCTCTGACTGGATGGTGGGGAATGGAAGGATGTATACTTCTTGGAGACAGTTCCTTTCAGCAGTTCCAAGAAGGCTCCACACCCATTTGCACTACTCAGGTGACCCTGATGACACAGATAAACCTCCAGGTGACCTCCCATTCCCCACCATCTAGTCAGAGCTGAAGAAGCTTCTTGGATGAGAAGTGACACGTCTTCAAAGAAAAACAGTCTAGTTGCCTCGTGAAAAAGCACCTTTGGGAGTAGTACCACTTTGGCTTTGGAATATAGTCATGCTGGCACATAGCAATAGCAATAGACTTATTTTCACAGTGCTTTACAGCCCTCTCTAAGCGGTTTGCAGAGTCAGCATATTGCCCCCAACAATCTGGGTCCTCATGTTACCGACCTTGGAAGGATGGAAGGCTGAGTCAACCTTGAGCCCATGAGGATCAAACTCCTGGCTGTGGGCAGAGTTAGCCTACAATACTGTGCCACCACAGCTCCTAACCACAGAAATGTGCTCACATGACCATGCAAACACAGAAATATCTTTGGACAATGCTCGGCTTAGAAATGGAGATGATCACTGCCACCCAGAGTCGGACGTGACTGGAAAAGGAAAACCTTTACTTTTATATATTTGTTCTTTTCTTTCTACCGTAGATAGCTTTTGTATTCTTTTTGACAACTTTGGGCTTCCTCCCTCCCTTGTATTACATTTTATAGCCATAAAAGCAAAACATGTTTCTAGTACAGAAGCTGGCATTGTGCAGATCACCAGCTTCTTCTGCAAAACTTCTTTAGCCACAGTAAGGATCCCACTGTGATGGTAAAAAGCAGTTCACCATCTGGTGAATGGATGTTTTGTGATCAGCAAACCATGGCAGCCATTTTGTAAGAACACCTACCGATTGCTTTCAGGATTTCAAATGGTTCCTACCTCAAAAGGGTTGTCTGTCTCTGCTTATGAACGCAAGCATTTTCTCTCCATTTTTTTTCTTTGGTTTAGCTTTTCATTTCTATGGATTTTGCTCTCTGTAATTGTCTTATCCTCAGCCTTGGCTTGCTGTTTGATGGAGCTCTTGCTTTGTTCCTTGGACTTCATTTATCATATCTATTCTATATGCCATCTTGATGTGGTTCAGAGCAGCATGCATTATCTCCCCTTCACAGTAGTTGTTGATAGAGATAGGGCCTGAGCAAAAGTCACCAAATAAGCATCATAGCTCAAGTGAAGGTTTGAATCTAGATCTCTTTGTGCCTAATCTGGTAATCTAATCATTATACAATCCTAATTTTTCTTTGAAACCTCTACTTTGATTTGAAATGAGCACCTGAGCCCCGGGCAGTCTCTTTTCGATGTCATTCCCATTATTATACTAGATTATAACATTTTATAATTAAATATACACACACCCCACCAATGTTGCAGTGTATTGTCGCATAAATCATTTTTGGATAGAATTTTATGTAAGTTGTTCCTGTTCTGAAAATAGCATCCTGCTATTTCTCTCTCAGCACATTTTTGTTCAGATGAAAGTATTAAGTATCTGTTAATTCATATGCACCCATTATGTATTCTTGAATCACCTTGGGTCTTCATCAGTAAGCTATTTAAATTTAAATTCTCACATCTTTATTGAATAGCTCTCCTTGATGAAGTAACCCAAATGGTTTAGGATGTAAAAGTGTACCTGTTACTAAAGTGTTATATACCAAAGGCTAGTTTTTCTAGCATTGTAATGAATGGCCCTTTGCCAGTTTTGTCTTATTTCCTCACTGATATCAAGAATGCCTGTTCTGAAATAATAGACTGAATGATGTACAGATAGTTGTCAACTAAAGATTGGTTGCTTAGCGACCATTCAGTGTTACAACGGACCCAGAAAATGGGAATTACATCCTGGTATAGGATCTCAATTTTGGGTGCTTGGCAACCAGCCTGCATTTACAGCTATTTGTAGTGCCTCACAATCATGTGACTTACTTTGTGACATTTTTGCCAGAATTTGACATTTACTCCGGTTTCCGGCAAAAAAACAGCCCCTAATTTCCGGAGGTACCAGAAGACCCACAAGACTTCCAGAAGTCCAAGAAACCTCCAAAAAACTGCAAGGCCACACAAGAGCATTATCTGAAGTTTCCAGGCTTCATGCAACCCTGGAGCTTCCTCAGATAAGCATTTCAAAAATGTGTATAATTATGTGACTATTTATTAAATAATACACTGAAATAATTTAATACCCTTTTTTAATGAATTGTGCGCATGACATCCTAGCAGAGTCAAGGAAGGCATTTTCTGAATTTTTGATACACCAAACCCAAAAGGTTCGACATCACTGCCATAAATGAAGATATCCTCCTCAGCTGTCTGGTAGGATTGGGTCTTAAAGTACAGTCTGGTCCTTCCTACCATGCCATATCCAGAAGTTGAAGTTGGGAGACAACTGCTCAGTGCAGTCACTACTTTTGATCATTATCTGATCTTGATGATGGACGTGGTAAGAGGAACCAAGCTGAAATTAAACCCAAGCAAGAAGAAGATGCTATTAATAAGGAGGAAACTAAAAGTGGGGACTGAAGCAAAGTCTACTTTAGGTGGAGCTGTGCTCTCATAAAAGGAGTTTATCTACTGTTTGAAAATACTCTTTTTCATTCCTAGCTATAATTAAATTCGTAGGTCATGGTTATGGCCTGGAGTGTGTTTACATAACTATCAAGTGATACATTAATTACAACTCCTTCTAAGCTGGGTGATAGTCATCCTTGTTTTAGTTGCAATCTATTGTGACTACTGCAGTGAGCTTGAGAAGTGTCCGGAAATTAAAATGGGTGTAAAAAATGTATTAAAGCAGCGGTTCTCAACCTATGGGTCGCGACCCCACTTGGGGTTGATCGACCATTTCACGGGGGTCGCCAAGCAAGGCTGTCCGCCATTTTTTTCCTCCTTTTCCGGCGGGTGCCTTACCTCCCTTGAGCTGGGCCAGCTGGTGGTCGGCCTGCTCAGTCTCTGCCGCTTGCCAGCTACGCCTCGGCCGGCACAGGGGGCGGAACCACACATGCGCGGCGCTCCCGGGCAAGGAAAGTCCTTGACTTACGACCGGTTGGGTAGTCCTCGACTTACGACCGGTTTAGTCCTCAACTTATGACCGGTTTAGTCCTCGACTTACGACCGGTTTAGTCCTCGACTTACGACCAGTTGGGGGTCGCGGCATTAAAAAGGTTGAGAACCACTGTATTAAAGAATCTGCACTTGCACAATCTACTCATTGTCTGTTGGGCACAACTTACGGTGTTGGTGTTGATTGTTAAAAATCTGAATAATTTAGGATCTGACTTAAGAGTGAACACTTCTCCTGCTATGAACGTGCCTGATAACATAGACCAGTAACAGAAAGACTTTTGAATATATGTCACTGACTGAAGTTTGTACACTTGATATATGGGAGAGGGGCTTCCCTGTGGCTCCAGGTTATGGAATGCTCTTGCTCTCTGAATATTTAGAAAATAGCATGGACATATTACTTCCACAGATTCTTTAGAATATTGATTTTAATGCCATGTTCTGTTTTTTATGTTTTCATTCAAATTAATGCAAGGCATTTTGGTGTATAAGCAGAAAGATGCAGTATATATTTAATAAATAAATGTGCAGATTGGTCTATCCTTGGTTTATTGTTTATTACTGTATATGGTATGCAGATCATCAGGCTAAGCTGAAGTTACCTTGGTGGAAAGGGCATTGGGGAGGAACCTCAGTCTTGATGACTAATACACTACTCTAGACCAAGGCTTTTCAACCAGTAGTACGGGTACCACCTGTGGTACATTGGCACCTGGCAGGTGGTACACGTCCATCCTAGAAAAGTAGTAGCGGGGGAGGGGAATGAGCTGAACCGGTGGCAGCACCGCACAAGCCTGAGCAAGAGATGGCTGGAGCTGCAAGGCTGTCAGGGCTCAGCGGAAGTGCCAGGATCAGCGCTTCTTCGGGGCTGTCAGGGCTCAGTGGAAGTGCCAGGATCAGCGCCAGGCTCCAGCTGGAGCTCGGCGCTGATCCTGGTGCTTCTGCTGAGCCCAGAAGAAGCACCGATCAGCTGGAATGTTGCAGCATCTCCAGGGTCTTGTAATTTACATTGAGATGCTTGGCAACTGATTCATATTTATGATGGTCACAGTATCCCAGGGTCATGTGAAGTGACCAAAACCACCCAGTAGATGGGGAGAATAAAAACCAAACACACCCCCCACCCCCACTGCCAATCCTCAACAGAAATGCTCACAACAATGAAAACCTCGGAGGAAGAGCGCCGCCAGGTGGGCAGGCAGGTGTCTTGCTCGGCAGTGGCTTGGGGGGTCCTTTTTTCAGTGCCATTGTAACTTCGAACAGTCACTAAGCGAACTGTTGTAAGTCGAGGACTACCTGTACTTCATCACTTTTTTCCTTTTTTTGGGTGGGGGTCATCAAGTTTTTGACACCTTGCTATGCGACTGGTGATACTCGGATATTGCCATATCCTAAAAGTGGTACAATGGGTGAAAAGTTTGAAAAGCCCTGCTCTAGACCAATATGTGCTCAAATGTGAGAAGTGAGTATGCTATAATAAGTCACCAAAAGATCAAGGAGAACCATCCATCCCAAGTGATTGAAGGTCATCTACAAGCATGATTAATGTCATGAAGTACCAACTAGAATAGTCCAAGTCAAGCTGTACAATCAGTCGTCTTCTATACAGTTGGAAGAATTATGTAGTTGTTAAGACATCACCCAAGTGTTATTAGATTGTACCTTGGATATGGCAAGATGGGAATGCTTTCTTTCATTATCTAAATTTCAAGCAACCAACTTAAAGAAACTGCTTAGCTCTTGTGTTAATTTTGCATATAGCATTATATGATCATGAATGATTGACTAATTTTCACCTCTTATGTTTTGTTTTTAATACTTAAGGTTTTACCATACCTGCAAGCTACCTGGAAGAATAATGGGTATCCGGCTACTTCACTTCTCTTCTATAGTGATTTTTTTGCTGCTTCTGGTGGCAGGTGCATTAACAGCTTTACTACCTAATATTAAGGAAGATAAAATGCTCACTCTGCGAAGGGAGAGAAAATCCCAAAGCCAGTTGGCTTCAGATTCATTTACTCTCATTATGCAGACATACAATAGAACAGACTTACTCCTGAAGCTTTTAAATCACTATCAAGCCATCCCTCACCTCCAAAAAGTGATAGTTGTGTGGAATAATGTTGGGGAGAAAGCGCCTGAAGAAACATGGAATACTTTGGGACCTCATCCTGTCCCAGTCATCTTCAAAGTGCAAACGGTAAATCACATGAGGAATAGACTTCAGGTTTTCCCGGAACTGGAAACAAAAGGTAGTTATTACTATCTCTCTTATTATCTCATTCTACCTCCTCATCAGTAATTATAGTACAATAAAAGGGCTATTGATGAAAGGGAGGAGTTATTAATGAATAATGCATTCAGCGCACAAGGAATGTGAGAAAGTCCTTGAGCAAAGGGTTGAAGGGATGCTGCCCAGGTAATGTTTAGATAAGATATACCAGGTATGCCAGAGCTACATAACAGGCAAAGAAAGAATGGACCCTCCCTCCAAACTTCTCAGACCGTTAAGAGACAGCAGGAAATTTGTACAGGTAGTCCTCAACTTACAACTGTTCATTTAGTGACCGTTTGAAGTTGACAATGGGACTGAAAAAAGTGGACTTGTGACCGTTTGTCACATTTATGACTGTTGCAGCATCCCCATGGTCACATGATCAAAATTGAGATGCTTGGCAACTGACTCATATGTCAGTGTCCTGGAGTCACGGGATCACCTTTCGCAACCTTCCTGACAAGCAAAGTCAATGGGAAAGCCAGATTCACTTAACAGCTGTCTTACTAGCTTAACAACTGCAGGGATGCACTTAGCAACTGTGGCAAGAAAGGTAGTAAAATGGGTCAAGATTCACTTAACAACTGTCTCACTTAGCAACAGAAATTTGGGGCTCAATTGTGGTCGTACGTTGAGGACTACTTGTACTTGCAGTTAAAGTAACCTTACAATAAAGCATTAGCGTTAGCACATCTGATCTCGTTTCCTGTCTGGTCCACCAGGGAAGGCTGATAATTGATTATTTAATAACTGCAACAGCATCATACAGTGACTTTTACAGGTGAATAAGCCATCATGGATCAATATAATCACACTTTTATATGGCCTTTTTTATCTTTCTTACTGACAATTATTTGGGTGTTATGGGGCTGGCTGGCTTGTCTGTTTGAATTCTGAAGTCCCAGAACACTTTAGCTTGTTCATTTTCTATTACTCTATTTCATGGTTCCACCAGTTCTTGCAGGCAAATGTATTCCTTGCGGATATTCCAATGTACTATTGTTGCTACTGTGTCCTGCCATTGTTTGTAGACAGACTGTGTGATCTTATTGCAGCAGCTAACTAACTGGTCCATTGTTTCTTCAGCTTTTTTGCAGAGGGGGCATTTGCTCTCTGTTGCAGTGCTAGTTCTGGCTTTGTATGCATTTGCTCTTAAGACTTAGTTATTTTACAGGCAGTATCAGTCCCTCTGTCTCTTTCCTCAATTTCCCGGCTCTTAGCCATTGCCAGGTCTTGTTGTTGGCCATGAAATACTTTGCCTTGCCATATCTCTTTTCTATTCTTCATTTGGTGTTTCTTGTACACCAGTTTGATCTCTCAAATACACAGTAAGTGTTCATGGTTTATTAGTTTGAGTGCATCATCTTCACTGTCCTTCACATATTCTTCCAAAGCCTTTTTTTTTCCTTGGACTGTCTGGTGTACTTGCAACATTCCACATTCACCTATTTTCCTTCTGTCAACATCGCTGCATGGATGAAGGGCATGATTCATTGACATTATTTTTCTGGTCTTCCTATCCAGGGCTTTTAGTTCTGCTTGAATGCAATCCACTGTTCCAGTGGTGTATCTAATGACTGGAATTCCCCAGGTGTTAACTGGATTGATGGTATCTCCTGCACTGAGTTTGCACTTTCAGATCATCTTCACTTTTATGATGTATTCACTTCTAACTTTCTTCTTGATTTCAGTATGCTTGATGTAGTTAGCTTGAAAGATGGCCAAGTATTTGTAGTGATCGTCCTCATCCAGACTCTCGATTTATTTCCATAGGACATCTTAGTGAGTGTGCCACATTTGTCCAGTCTAAACTCCATTGCAATATCTTGGCTGTATATCCGAAAGGTGTTGAGCAGTGATTTTAGATAGTGTTTTTCCGTACATCTTCAGATTGTCCATGTAAAGGTGGGATAGACTGGCTGACGTACTTGATGTTTGATAGCCATGGCCTGACTTGTTGAGTGTTTCTGAGAGGAATCAGTGCAATAAGAAACAGTTGTAGTAATACTGAGTCTCCTTGAAAGATTCCTATCTTGATATTAACCTCTCCCAGTAGATTACCATTGACCAGCAATTGTGTCTTCTATTGTGCCATTGAACTTTGCACAAAGTGTCTGATGTTTTTATTGATTCCTGTTGTTTTTAGGCACTTGTTTATCCAATCATGTGGCAGGGAGTCAAATGTCTTCTTGTAATCAATCCAATCTACATTCAAGTTGGTCTTCCTTCTCTTGCAGTTTTCCAAAATCACCTTGTCAATTAGGAACTGATCTTTTGTTCCTCTGATGTTTGGGCCATATCCCTTCTGCTAAGGTGGAAAAAGCTTGTTTTCAGCTAGATACTGTTGCACTGCATCAGCTGCCACACCAGTTAGCAAGTTGTTGATAAGCAGGCAATTGGTCTGTAGTTGCCTGATGCTACCTGTTTTACTGGATCTTTCATTGTCAGGTAGATTTTACAGATGTTAACCAATCTTCAATGTCATCTCTTGTGGTAAGTTGTTAAACTGCTTGGCAATGGGCGTGTGTAGCTTAGTCAGATATTTCAACCCAAAATCATGCAGTTCATCTCCACTGCATTCTTTTCAAATATCCTCTTCTTGCTGGAATTGATTTGTAATAACAGATGGTTATTTCTTTTTTCCCCATCTTTGTATATTTGCTATGGTAAGCATCTTTCCCATTTGCCCTGCAACTGCTAGCCTCAAAAAGCTAAAAATAAAAGTTACTTAAAACCCATCCGTCTGCTGCAGTCACATGATCACATTTTGAGTGTTTGGCAGCCTACTCGCATTTATATCCAGTTGCAGCGTCCCATGGTCAGGGGATCACCTTTTGTGACATTTCTTGCTGTTTTCCAGCAACAAATCCCCATTGGATAAAATGGATTTTCATTTATGACCATGTGGTTCACTTAAGACCATGCTGCCTCACATTGTCGTAGAAATGATCATGCTTTACAACTGCAACAACTTCCGATCAAAATCCCAGTCCCAAATACTGTATGGTTGTGAGTCAAGGACTACCTGGGGTTTTTTTTTTCCCTCCTTTCTCCACAATGGTTGCCAGCACTATTCCCAACCACCACTGTTACACTTGCTTGCAGTCCTATTTCTTTTCTCTCAGTTAATTTAATACTAATTTCTCTCAGCCAGGGCTCTGATTCTGCCCCTTGCACCACAAGCAAGTTATAGATTTGGTACCTCTATTTTCATCACCACCATTATCACCTACTATATATCATTAAGATTGGATTCCCACAAGATAATGCCCCAAAATGTATTTTGCTCACTTTGTGCTTCAGTGTGTTGGGGGGACCTAGACAATGGGTTTACAAATCAGGGCTTAAGAGTAAAGCCTTCTAATTGTAGTATATTCGGAGAATGTGATAAAAATATAAGTTGCAACAATATATGAACCCAGCCTATCCTTGAAATCATAAACATTCTCACTACAGAGTTAATCCCTATTGAACAAAGTAGAATTCACTTTGAGTATAAAAGCTTGAGATCATGTTCCACAGAATGAAACATAAATTTCTTCTGTGATTGTTATAATGAGAACCAGAGGGGTTTTTTTCCACTAATTATTCTTCACTTTGGGGACAAGAGAACATTTTAGCTACTGATATCATATTTTGGGTTCTCTTGAAATTGGCAAGATCCTGCCGAAGAGCAACTGTATTTTGCAATCACCATGAATATTGTTTAATCTATTGTAAATATTTTGCTCAGTAAAAGCACTCATTAAAATGCATTTTTCTCCATTCAGCTGTTTTGATGATGGATGATGATACCCTAGTTAGCGCCTATGACCTAGTTTTCGCTTTCTCCATTTGGCAGGTAATGTTAGCATTCTGCTTTGCATGTTCATTTAGTACAAAATGTGTTTGAGTTATGTACTGTTCTGGTTTCCAAAGATCCTTTATGTACACTTACTTAGAGATTACAGTCACACTTAGAAATTAAGTCTCAAAGAACACAGCATAGGTAGATAGTCATTTTTCTTAAAACTGGTGATTTTCAAAAGTGCCAAGATGTTCTAAGGAAATTGTATGTCTGTAAGGTATTCTGCTATATTCAGATTTAAATCAGATTTAACCAACATACTGAAAGCCTAACTACACATTCTAAAATTTAACAGAGGGGCCGTACATATATTCATTATGTGGTGCAAGAGACACATTTCCACTGTACCAGTGGAACAACCATTATGTCTTCTAATTGTCAAGTCCAGGAAGGGAAAAGGAAAATACAGTAGAAAATACAAAAATAGCACGTACACTAACAACAATCCAAAAAAACCACTGTTGACCGTGTAGATAAGAACATCCATCCCTATAAAGAAAGAGTGAATGAGCTCCTGATGAAAAATTATTCTAGAGCAGTGGTGGCGAACCTATGGCACGCATGCCAGAGGCGGCACTCAGAGCCCTCTCTGTGGGCACGCATACCATCGCCCCAGCCCGGCCTCCCCCGTGGCCCCTCCTCCCCAGCAGCCCCCCCGGAGGAGAATCACCCCTGAGCAGTGCAGCCAAAAACATGGCAGCCAGACAGTGGGGACACTGCACTCGCGCCCCGTCGCGCAGATGATGCTGCGGGGTGTGGATGGAGGGTGTGGCTGCCATGGCGCTGCTGGGCTGCTTGGGCGATCTGTGGCGGGCCGTGGAGGAGGTGGGTGGCCCTGTGGGCAGGCAGGGTGGGGGCCGAGCAGGGACGGGCCACGGGTAGGGGCAAAGTGGGGGTGGGCGGGGGGCAGGGCTAGTTTTTGGCCACTCAGTCTCTAAAAGGTTTGCCATCACTGTCCTAGATACCATAATTTACTAATCTTAATAAGGGAATCTGTAACAATTCCACTTATGCCGGTGGCCAAACTTTACATATATATATGATGTTGAGTTCTGTCATGTACCTATGAAGCATTGTTTTGAACAAAACATGCACAGAAAGGCAGGATTGACACTTTGGATTCTAAGGGGGCGGGAGAGTGCAGCTCTGTGATATAGCTACATCTTTTCCCAGGATTGCAAGGCTGCTTTTTGATCCCTGAAAAAGAGATATTTGGCTTGAGGAGCTGCAAACAGCTGCAATGAGCACGTAGCACATTTGAAACTGAAGCACTGCAGGGCCCTAACACAGAAACCGTACCAGATAGTTCGCTGAGCAAGCACGCTGTCAGCCCTACTGTGTAGACTAAATTAAGAAATCAGCTTCACGGAGAGGCTAAAACTGTTTTTGTTGAGATTGGCTATATCAACAAAAGAGCCTGATTGTGTTTTATTTCCCACTCCCCTGCCCTTATACTCATGAGAATTAAAGAGGTGTCTCTCTGAGCCACTTTTGCATTTGTTCTGCCATGTTTTTCTACTTGTCTATTGGTAAAGGATGTGGAGTGTCTCTGTCAAGATCGTCTGCCTTACTCTTTCTACACATATAGCCTTGTGAGGATAAGATACCCAGAATAGGAAACTATTCTTTGAGCAAGTAGTCCAAAGGATGCAAAGAAATCAAGATCTTGTACCCACCTCTTCTAGCCCACCACATAAGGTGCAGGGCTGGGAAGTCAAATATGAGAATGAATACATCTAGTCCTTGGGTTATGACTCTTCGTTCAGTAATCAGTGAATGTATGACATATACATACATATACACATACACACATATATATATACATATACACATACATATATACACACATACATACATTATCTTGAGTTTGGTGTACCCTGTCGGCCCAAATATGGGAGAAAGGAATCTGCCTAACATACAGACAGCCCAGGTTCGAATCTCAGAAGGGTATGTCTGGTTGAAAAGAACTAAAAAGTTCGAAATGGCTATTCCAGTTCTCCCTTAATTCTTTGTTAGCAATCCAAATTTTGAAATACATACATACATACATACATACATACATACATAAAACCTGTCATAACTTTTTCCAACTGTTTATCCATCAATCCCAAAAAAAAATCTCTGCTTTCAATTGTATATATGTCTTTAAAATCTTTATAATACAAAATTATTGTATGTAATTGAGTCCAAATTTTTTTGCCTTTTTTACACATCCACCCAGCATGATAAAATGTCCTTTCATGTTGGTTACATTTCCAGCATATATTAGAAGAGTCTTTACACATTCTAGCCTTTTTTTTCAGCGAATGTACCAACAATATAGCATTTTATAAAAATTCTCCTTAAGATTACAATATTATTCTAAATTTCCATTATATCAATGCATATTCTCCCACTGACCCACTTGTATATTATAACCAAAGTTTTTAGCAATAGCACTTAAACTTATGTACCACCCCAAAATGCTTTATAGCACTCTGTGAGCGGCTTACAGAGTCAGTATATTGCCCCCAACAATCTGGGTCCTCATTTTACCGACCTTGGAAGGATAGAAGGCTGAGTCAACCTTGAGCCCATCAGGATTGAACTCCAGACTGTGGGCAGAATTAGCCTGCAACACTGCATTCTAACCACTGGACCACCATTTTAATCTATTTTATCTTATAGTTCTTCTTGTGTTTTTATTCTACATTCTCCTTGAGAAAATTGTAATATATCACTCAATCATTTGTGTTTAATAATTGTATCTCTTCTATAAAATGTTTTTATGCTGAGACCCAGGATGGTATTTTTGGGCACAGCCTACATTTATATCTATTCCACATTTTCAGTATGTCAGGCTAACAAAATGGTTTTTAAAATCTACATTAACCTTAGACTTATACCATAGATAGTATGCCACCCAAATCTCAAATCATGCCCTTCTAACTCCAAATGTCTCGTGTTTCTTAGCAACCTCTCCTCTTTCATCCAGACCAAAGAGCAAACAGCAAAATATAATTTCAAATTACATGTGCCAATCCTCCTTTCTTTTGCATCTTAACTCATGGTTTTTCCCTCTGTCATACAAATGTATATATTAGCACTATTTTTTTGCACATCTGACTGAAACTGAATTAATGACAATTCTGCATGTATCTGAGAGTTGGTATAGCATAGTAACACCAGTTCTAAAAATCAAGCAGATCCTATTTTAGGCAAGTATTTCAGCTGCGCTCTTTGGAAATTAATAATACTGGTTCTTTTAAAGTAGTTGTTAGGATTACATTAGCTTATGAATTTGGTGCGTTTTGAATATGTGAATTGTTATTTAAATTGGGGTATTGCTGCTGTGGACCTCCCCAAAAGACCAAACCTCTTCTGGATTTCCAGAAGGAATCTCAGTGCTCCACCTGTTCTTTTATAATATATCACAGAAGACACATAAATGGCTGTAGAACACATAGGCAAACTGGACCATGAATGCATAAAGCATTCCAATATAAAAATAAGGACATTTTCTGAACTCTACTCTTCACCTTTTTAACTATATGGGCACAAAATGTGGCTAAATTTGCAGTGATAGCAAACCTTAACATGGGGAACATCTTATAAACAATTCTTTTTGATGTATGTTTTTGTTATTGTGTCATAAATGTTTTGCAATTGTTTTTTATTTGCAACTAGCTGTACCCGGCCACGCGTTGCTGTAGCTCAGTCTGGTAAAAGCGTGTGTTGCTTTTACGTCCAACAGATGGTGCTGTTTTTTTAAAAAAAGCATGTTTTTACCTGTCACAGGTGTGACATCTATATAATATAGATATATAAAAACACGCACATATTCGAATGCAACGTTGTGTCAAAAGAACTTTCGGAGATTTAAGATTTTGAACAAATGAACATTTACATTTTTATTTATATAAGATAGATAGATTAGGCACCCAATAGCAATAGTATGACATTTTTCTTTTCCTACAGCAATTTCCAGATCAGATTGTTGGATTTGTTCCCAGAAAGCACATACCCAGCCCTGCGGGGATATTCAGCTACGGGAGCTTTGAGCTTCAGGGTCCTGTCATTGGCAATGGAGACCAGTATTCGATGATCCTAATAGGAGCTGCCTTCTTCAACAGCGCATATCTAGAACTTTTTCAAAAGCAGCCTGAAGCTGTGCACACCATGATCGATGAGACTCAAAATTGTGACGATATTGCCATGAATTTCTTGGTAGCCAAGCATACCGGAAAGCCATCGGGCATGTTTGTGAAGCCGGTAGACATCAGGAATTTAGAAAAAGAAAGCAACAGTGGTTATTCTGGAATGTGGCACCGGGCAGAACACTTGCTGCAAAGGTCCTACTGCCTTAATAAATTGGTTAGTATCTATGGCAACATGCCTTTAAAATATTCTAATATTATGATTTCCCAGTTTGGTTTTCCAAACTACGCTAATCACAAGAATAAAGTATAAGGATATGCGCCAATAAATGCTTCGACGTGCTTCTCGGCAATTCAACTAATAAACCAAGTAGGGAAGTGTGTAAAGAAATCTGTAAGGGTACACATTTTATGGAGCTCTTTCTGCAAGAGCTCTAAGGGGATGTAAAGTCTGGGTGAAACATTCCATCTCTTGTACTCAGCATGTGGAAAGCTTTTTAGTTGGCTTTGCTATTTATCCCCATTTCAGACAACCTTCCTCCCCCAAACACTTGAATGCAGATTGTCCCAGAAAACCATGTGCATTCACGTAATCTAAGTTGCAAATATACTATATCTCCAGCCACAATGTTTAAGCCAACACCCATTTTTCACTTTCAGCCTGCCTGTTCAAATATGCCTGTAAAAGGATGCAAAGAATAAATTCTCCATAAAATGTAGCATTTTTTTCTTCACACATCTGTACAACGAGGCTACACTTGCTTTATATATCAGATATTGCTCCAGTGACACTGAATAGTTTCACTCGTAGAAATATTTTCTGTGGAATAACTTGATGATTTGAGAGCATTTGCAATAACATTATTTGCTTCCCCTTTCCACAGCTAAATAATATTTTTTTAAAAAGCAAATGGTGAGATATTTGTCACAAATACATTATCTTGATCTTGAGACGTGTGAAGAGTTTGCCCTTATCTTCCACTAAACTTTTTATTTTAACAAAAGCTGTTTGAATTTTGAAGACAGTGCTATTTTATGTCTTAAGCCAAGAGCTAAATAGTTTGCAGTGTTTTTTTTAACATAATGATAAAATGTTTCTGAACTTACACAACTTGTAATATCTATGTGGTTGTTCAGTCTGAGATCTTTCTATATTTCAAAAATATTGTAACACTTTTAATCCCTTGCCTATCAGTAAAAGTTAATAAAGGAAATTACAAGATTGGGAATTTTTCCCATGCAAATTGTAATTCAAGACACATTGTGTTTTCAACTATATACATTCGACAGAAACCAGGTCTGAGATCCAGAGATCCTATATAATTCTTTTTTTTTTTTTTTTTGCTTTTTCAAAGAATCAAACCCCCCTATCCAAAGCTGTTCAATCCATATTTTAATATCCAACTTGTTTCAACTGAAAATTTGCCATTACCAAAAAAAACCCCATTTTATCTGTGCAATATTTTGATCGGATTAAAAAGATTAAGCATAGATTACTATACAAAAGCTGCAGCCAACATCTGCAACAGTGATCTGGGGCAGCTCACAGTATGCTGGTAGAACATAGAAGCCAAAGTAAGAAATGGTATCAAAGATTTCTCAGCCTACAATCAATCTGAGTTCCATTGCAATTTTTTTTTATTTGAATGCACATTTTTTTTCAGGCTCATTTATCTGAAGCTGGTGGCTTATTGCTGCTTTCAAGGAAATAAAATGAATATTAGTATTTGTTTGGGAACAGGTTGTGCTACCTTGTGTGTTAAGGTGCCATATTTCTATTCATTTAGTTAGGCTTATTCTGTATCTGAGTTTGTATATTTCTTTTCCTTCTGCTCAATAATTTTCAATCTGTTGAAAATACGTATGATTTAGAATTCAGTGGTTCCTAGAGATGTGACTGCCTAGTTCAGTTGTATTTTGATGTATTTTGTAAATGCAAAAGTTGTGCATTTCCCCCCTCTTTTATAGTCATATTGTTGGGGTAGTTGTTCTTTCATCCTTATTTTCTAAGAGAACTGCTAATAAAATGTGTAATATTGAGAAATGTTGCATGGTTATTTATTGGCTGAAGTGAGCTGTATTATAGAGAAAGTAGACTAATTCCTTCTTTTATGCTCATGTGCCAATGAATTCCAACTACTGGAATTAAATGTATATAAGATTACAGCTCTGAAGGTTGATTAGAAATGACTGAATTGTAATCTTTATCTAGGATTGAGCTGTGTTATTTTAAATAAAATACTGTAATGTCTTGGAAATAAAATCCTACTTGAGATTTATTTCCAAGGAAACACAATATGTCCACTGCACATTCCTTTATTCACAGTCTTAAAATGAATATTCCCTATGTATCTGAAGCACATTGTTCAAGGCTCTGTCTTAATATAATGTCATCTCAGCTAGAGGAGAACTTAAGGGTTTTGGATACAGAGTACCATTTAGCTACAGATCTGTGATTTAGATTTCAGTAAAGCAAACCTGCCTTTCTGGTCCAAAATTCTCCAAATGCTAAAGCAGTGGTTCTCAACCTGTGGGTCGGGACCCAATTTGGGGTCGATCAACCATTTCATGGGGGTCGCCAAGCAAGGCTGTCCGCCATTTTTTTTGTCCGCCATTTTTTTTGTCCGCCAAGGGAGGTAAGGCACCCTTTTCCGGCGGGTGCCTTACCTCCCTTGGGCTGGGCCAGCTGGTAGTCGGCCTGCTCCGTCTCTGCCGCTTGCCAACTACGCCTCAGCCGGCGCAGGGGGTGGAACCACGCATGCGCGGCGCTCCCGGGCAGGGAAAGTCCTTGACTTACGACCGGTTGGGTAGTCCTCGACTTACGACCGGTTTAGCCCTCGACTTACGACCGGTTTAGTCCTCGACTTACGACCGGTTTAGTCCTCGACTTACGACCGGTTGGGGTCGCGGCATTAAAAAGGTTGAGAACCACTGTGCTAAAGTCTCTTTCAAGTTAAATTTTATTCTTGATGACTTCATTCATACAGCTACATGATTTTCCTGCCCCCACTGAAATTAGTGGAACGTTAACAGATGTACATGTGCAACTCTAGGTGATCATATGTGTTAAAATTAAAGACTCCCTCAAGTTTAGTTATTATTCACTTGTTGGATTTTATATCCTGCCTTTTTCATCATGCAGTTCAATGCAGCATTTTCTCCACTTTTTTTTTCTCACAACAACCTCAACAGGCCTAAGGTTACAGAGTTCCCATGGCTATGGGTAAACCTGAAACCAAGTTTCCCTGGTTTTACTCTGTTATTTTAACCCCTGTACTACAGTGGTTCTTCAGTTAATCTTCCAGTGACTAAATATGTATGGTTTGCTTGGCAGTGTTACAGAAGTGGTTTGCCACTGCATTCTTCAAGATGTTTTAATTTCCTAGTCTAGCCAACAGCCCTTTAATTATAAGTAGAGAGAAAGAGTGAGTTTAGTAAACCTCTGCTTTAAACCCTGCAGAAGAAGATCCAGAAATGCATCCACGCAATAAACATCAAGTGCAGCTAATGCTTTTTACTGGAGTTAAAGACCAGAGCTTGTTTGGCTTATAAGGATGGGGCTTATTCAGATGCTGGAGCCTCTGAACCACTTTTATACAAATTAAATGACGCTGTAATAGAGGGGATTACTTTAGTGAAACTTGGCATGTCTTAAGGTCATTATATTTATTGAGCATAATCCTAAAATGGGAGGGGAAAAAAATCTTAGCCTGCTTACTAAATCCATGGAAGCGTTTTTCTGCTGTTGACCCATTTTAGATTAAAAAAATAATGAATGGAAGTATTGCAAGCATCACAAACCTCATTGCTGTATTTAAATAATTGCCCAGTTTTCAATACACCAGCAGATGGCACTCCTAAGATCTTGCCAAGCAGTATTAAAAAGAGCAAGACTGCTGAAATTTGAGCAGGGGTACATGGAACAATCAGCACAGCGCTGCAAATGTTTTATAAATATAGTGTCATTTATATAAATATGATTTTGGTTATTAATGCAATATTTGTGCCAGTTCAACAAGCCGCACAATAATCACAAGTGAAATATTAGCTGCTATCTTTAAAAATATGAAACAAACCATGTGATTAATGGCTACAATAGAATAACTGAACAAAGAAAAGAAAGGAAAGGTGTTTTTGAAAGTAATATTTAATAGTTGAATCTGAAAATAGTTATAATTATTAATTCAGTTATAATATTAAAGAAAATAACACAAACAATCCCGTTTCCTGGGGGAAATGTCCTTGTGACCCATCCATTTCCACTGTCTTCTCCATAAAGTGGACTCACTGATACATTCAAATTAAGAATAGGACTGACAGTTTTAGTCATCTAAATTATTAGTCTAAGATAGAATGATGTTTGACCAGAACCGGAGTAACAGACCAATCAGATGCCATAGAATCTAGATTCTTATGCCTGATCAGTATTCTTAGTGCTTACGCTGGTCAGTTTGTAACTGACATTGTGAAGACAAGTATCTGGAAGGCCTAAGGGAAAAATAAGTAAGTTCTTGAAAAGTTTTTATAATTTTAACTTTTAATCTACTAGCTTCCTCTGAGGTTTATCTTGGTGATAGCAGAATACAGTATTTTCCTATACTATGGGATAAAATACTTTCCGACATTGTATTATAAGAGAAAAATATTGCTATTGTTCCATTTATACCAGCGGTTCTCAACCTATGGGTCGCGACCCCATTTGGGGTCGATCGACCATTTCACGGGGGTCGTCAAGCAAGGCTGTCCGCCATTTTTTTCCCCTTTTCCAGCGGGTGCCTTACCTCCCTTGAGCTGAGCCAGCTGGTGGTTGGCCTGCTCAGTCTCTGCCGCTTGCCAGCTACGCCTCGGCCGGCGCAGGGGGCGGAACCATGCATGTGCGGCACTCCTGGGCAGGAAAAGTCCTCGACTTACGACCGGTTGGGTAGTCCTCGACTTACAACCGGTTTAGTCCTCGACTTACGACCGGTTTAGTCCTCAACTTACGACCGATTTAGTCCTCGACTTATGACCGGTTGGGGGTCGTGGCATTAAAAAGGTTGAGAACCACTGATTTATACCTTCATAAAAAGTTTGAAAAAAAGTAATTTCTGAGCAGTCAGTAATAATCATAAGATCATAGTACTATATATCTAACTTCAAAAGGTTGTATTTCTTCTCTACTCTTCAAGGTTGAACACAAAAGCCAGACTGGTGTTTGGTTAGTTGACAGAATATATATTTTATCACGTGTAACTACCATAACAGTGTACCATCCATAAACTTATGTGCAAAATGTTAATTTGAAATAGTCAAAAGGCATTTTATACAATTTTACATAGGATTTCACTCAGTTCACAAGAGTATACTTTTAAATCATCCTGCACACAATCAGCTTGAATGCTTGGAATCCAAAAATAGAGGATGGTCGCCTGTTTAATTTATTTAATTTATTTAAATTTTATTTTATTTATTTATTTAATTTATGGGACAAAAAAAGAAGCTAAATAAGCATTATCACTCCATTCATAAACATGGGAAAGCTAGTTTTCCTAGCTTTCCCATGTTTATGAATGGAGTGATAATGCTTACTTATTAATTAAATTTTTATGCTGCCCATCTCATTGATATAGCGACTCTAGGTAGCTTTAGTAACATACTAACACTTTGAAATGGGCAGAGGTGTAAACATGGCATCTATCAGTAACACACATAATTCGTACAGGAAAATATGCAATTGTTTTAAAGACAAGTGCTCTGTGTGCACCAAAAAGCTCCGTTTTGAAAATGAATCCAAAGTGCTGCCCAGCCTTACATCCCGCATAAAATAATTGTAAGCCATGGAACAGATATTGGTCAAAATTAAAGAAAACATACTCCATGTGCAGCACAAATCCTGGAAAGGAATGGAAAAGCAGCATCATGCCATATAAAAATAGGGTCCTGCTACTCAGGCGTCACAAATTATTTGGAAGAAGTGCTTTAGTTTTGTGTGAGGGCAGTACCTCTCTTCAGTTCGTGAAAGAAGGCTCTTCTCAAACTCAAGAAGAGACAATGCCATAGCAAAGACCTTTAAGAAGTGTCACCAGATGTTTATATTAAACTATAGTCTCTTCTATGTGCATTTCTGGAAGAATTCTTGTCATGTGTAATGAATGGGAACTAATATTCTATATACCAACCACAATTTAATGGATTTGACCCCAGAGAACATCACAATGACTGTTAGTGTACGTTACCATGATCTCAGACAGTTGTTACCTTACTAACAGTGGCTATGTTTGAATAGAAAGGTGAAAAATTCTAGCCCACTGATGTAGCCTGTGTAGCCACTGTAACCCCCACGTCCCCCAATTCTATCTCCTCTTCACATGTATCATGAAACTGTAATGTTTTAGGCTTCCATAAAATAAAAACAAAGCTCTTTTTTCATCTTTAGTTTTTAAAATGTTCTTAGTTGGATATGGCTTTCACATATTGTATTTAAACACCAGTGTAGCCCTTCAATTATGATGTACAATCAATCACAACGGCCATGTTCATATAACATGCTAAATCCAAAGAAACCACCTTGTAATGTAATGTGATGGCTGGTTCACACAGCATGCTAAGATGTAATATAGTTTGTTTGGTTTTTAATTAAACAATAGTATACTGTACATATATATATTTAAAATATTAGCAGCAGTAACAGCCTTTTTTAATTCTCTATCAGTCCCCAGTACAGAATCATTGAAAAAAGCAACTTTTTAAAATCAGGAAAAAGGGATTATTTTTTTTTAGGTTTTCACATTAGCTTGAAAAAAATAAGGCTTTAAAAAGGTTCAGAAACCTAAAAACAGCCAGCCTTCCTTTATGTATGGGAGAGAAGTGTGGTTCTTTTATGAAGTTAACAGTACTTTTTTCAAATCATTTTTGAGGTGCCTACTGTCCAAGTAAACCCAAGAGTCATTCTGCCTGAAGATTTCTAAAACTGGAGCTTACTTATCCTGTTCACCTGTTTTCATATAATAATTCTAGTGATGTGAGGCATGGGACCTAACTTTACTCCAGTCGTATAATGTGTTGTGATAAAACAATACGTTGCTGTTATTGTCACCATGGGTTAATGTTAACAGAAGTATTGCCAGCTAAATCAGAAATGTGAGCTATGTGTAGAAGAATCCATTCCAAGACACTTGAAGGAACTTATAGTTTCTATTTGCTTAAATTAACAAGAATTCATGTCATCTTTGTGGGATATTGGAAATATTCCTGACAGCAAGTTAATGCGTCTTAAAACTTCATGGTGACTTCCTCTTTTCCATGTATCAAGCAGTGAAATAATCTTTCATTTTCCTAGGACTGAATAAGACTTAGATATGAACATGTACTAAGGCAAAGCAGCAGCATTTTGTTATAAATTATAAATCAAGGGACATAATGGTTTGGTTCACGCAATCAGCTAATCTATGATTTATTTGTTTTTTGGCTTAGCCTACTGTATGAACACAGCAATTGTGATATGTAAACTATAGTTTAGAACTGATCATGATGTGTGAACAAGATCATGACATGTTACGTTAATATATTAGGCTAAGTACCTTGACATATTTCTTTTTTTTAAAATGTATTTATTTATTTTATTCAAGGGATAAAATACAAACTCAAAAAATAATCAAGAACAGAACAAAACTAAACAGGACAAAAAACAAAAATAAGTGCATAAAAAAAGAAAATACACATATATTGTCCTCCCTTATTGAATACTGATAAATATATTACAACACCAGCAGTTTTCCCCCCTTGCGAAACAGGTCTACAATATATAAGCTTCTACAACTCTATTTACCCAAACAATTTGACCTATCATTCACGTACTGTAAAAAGAAACAGGTAACAGGTAAGCCCAACAACAGAAACTAACTACAAAACCCTCTGTTAACAATCCATTATTGTGAAGTGCTTTGATTTGTGCTGTACTGTTATAAAACAGGAACTTTTCCTTTTGTTTCAAAATGTTATTTTTTTATTCAAAAGTTTAAATACAAACTCACAAAAAACAACCAAGAACAGAACAAAAATATGGCGGCATGATTTTGTTCCTTGATTTGACAGATATGCCATCTTTGCAAAATGTTTCAGAATCCAATCCTTAAATCTAATCATAGTTTGCTCATTGCATGAAGACATTTCAACTATTATTGAGATGGGCTAGATAAATGCCACACCTGCCTTGAAAGGTAGGGAACTCGAGTTGCTAGTTTCTTCAGCATTTTGAAGCAAATATCATTAAAAGTCTCACTTACTCCAAGTGATCTTCTGCAGCTTTGATGAAACTCCTTCAAGACAATTTCAGTTATGTTTAATTGTGTGGGAGTGCAGTTCAGACAACCAGCTTTCAAATAAACAGAAATAAACATGGTTTGTTAAAGAGATTCATACCTATCAAGATGTCTCAAGGAAATCATCAAGGATTGTCTTTCCTTTACTCTTTACTTCATCCTATCTGGAATGCATCCTAAATTGAAACACTACGGTAGTCCTCGGGTTACGACCACACTTGAGCCCAAAATTTATATTTGTTGAGTGAGTTTTGCCCCATTTTGCGACTTTTCTTGCCACATTTCTTAAGTGAATCACTGCTGTTGTTAAATTAGTGACACAGTTGTTAAGTGAATCTGGCTTCCCCATTGACTTTGCTTGTCAGAGGGCCGCAAAAACTGATCACATGACCCCGGGACACTGCAACCGTCATAAATATGAGCCAGTTGCCAAGCATATGAATTTTGATCATGTGACCATGGGGGATGCTGCAACGGTTGTAAGTGTGAAAAACGGTCCATCGCTTTTTTTCGTACTTCTGAACGGCCACTAAATAAACTGTTATAAGTCGAGGATTACCTGTACTCACAAGTTATTATATGCTCTTAGTTCTTTTATGTTACTGGAGTACTACGGTAATAGATTATCGTACAACAACATTTCTTGATATAGTACAATAGTTCGATAAATTATCCGATTGCTTGATTGACTGAGTTAAGGTTGATATATTTCTATATAATATATCTGGACATCTTTTTTAAAAAAAATAGCTTTCTATTTGCTGTTGGAATTCTTTCAAGTCTTTTGGAACGAGGATGAGGGGTGGAGGAGGAAGGTAGGTTAAAAACATTTCAGCCTTTTATTTCCTATTAATTCTGGTACAAGGCGATGTACAAAGGAATGATTGACTCTGTCATTTGCACCTCTATAACTGTCTGGTTTAGCATTACAATCAAACAAGACAGACACAGACTTCAATGGATAGTTAGAACTTCAGAAAAAAAAACAATTGCTACCAGCCTGCCTTCCATTGAGGACCTATATACTGCATGAGCAAAAGAGAGGGCTGCAAAAATATCTACAGACCTTTCACATCCTGGACATAAACTATTTCAACTTCTGCCCTCAAGACGACGCTAATAGTGCATTGCACACCAGAACAACTAGCCATCACGGCAGGTTCCCCCCCCCCATGCTGTCACTTTGCTTAACAACTAATTCCAACAACACTGTCAAACTACTTAGTAAAGCTGTACTACTATGATTCTCCTTATCTTTCCTATTACCTATCCTTATCTTCTTAGGACAGTGATGGCGAACCTTTTAGAGACCGAGTGCCCAAACTGCAACCCAAAACCCACTTATGCATCGTCGAGTGCCGGGTGGGTGTGGCCCATTGGGTGGGTGTGGCCCATTGGGTGGGTGTGGCCCATTGGCTGGGCGTGGCTGTGGTGGTAACGGCAGACTGGGTGGGACTAAAAAGTTCAATCAATCAATTCCAACTTTGCGTTGACAGCAAGATCTTTATTTTCCCCACGAGAAGTTGAAATTGACTGATTGAACCTTTTTTTTTTTTGCACAAGGCGGAGGCCTAAAGTGAAAAGGTTTTATAAAACCCAGCTGAAGGCCTAGGACTGGGGCGACGGTGCGTGTGCCCACAGAGAGGGCTCTGAGTGCCGCCTCTGGCACCCGTGCCATAGGTTCGCCACCACTGTCTTAGGACTATAACTTTGCTGCTTGTATTTTACAATTTATAGTTTTTTTGGTACCCTAGTATGATTTATGTTGTGTGCTTAGCTAGTACTCTATGACTATCACCAAGTGTGGCATCTTATGATTTATGATGAAGTGTTGTATTTCACGATTTACGATGAATGTATTTTCATGTTGTATATGATCATGACTATCACTAGTACTTGGATGTACACTGAGAGCTTACGCACCGGAAACAAATTCCTTGCGTGTCCAACCACACTTGGGCAATAAAAGTATTCTATTTAAACCCACCACCCACCACCATCACCACCACCGCGTGGAGGCTGAAAACAAGCGAGAGGGAGAGAGGCCAGCTTCCCTTCTTTCGCAACCTGGCGGGGCAGAGGAGGCGAGGCGGCCTCAGGTGCAATCCGGGGACAGCCCTTCGGAGGCGTAGCTCCTCGGCCCGAGCCCAGGTGCGTATGTAACAAAGCCCTGGTAACGCGGTTGCCACCGCAGCGGCCGCTGCCTGGTAACCGGGTCCTGCCCCTTTAAGCCGCCGGAGGGCGGGACGGAGGCGAAGAAATCCTTCCCACCCCACCCTCCGGCCGGTTCCTCCGCCACTCACGCGGGTCGCTGGGTCCCGGAGCCCTCGTCTTTCCTTTTCCTCCTTTCGCGTGCTCAGTCCCATCCCATGCGGGCGGCGGCGGGGAAGGAGTCTCTGGTGGCTGCAGCAGCAGCAGCAGCCGCAGCAGCCGCAGCAGCGCAACCCCGGCCGGGCGGCTCCGGCTCTCCCTTCCCCGAGCATGTCCCGCTGCTGGCGCCGTTTTTGGTGAATCCGGCTGGGCGGCGGGGCTCTTGCCATCGCTGCCCCCGCCGCCGCCGCCACCGCCACCGCCACCGGAGAGCTCGCCGTTCCGAGAGGCGCTCATGAGTGCCGAGACGTCGTCCCGCGCGTCTGCGCACCTCCGCGCCCTCTTTAGGATGGAACCCAGCCCGCCGGTGGCCTCGGAGCAGCTGCTGGGCGCCTCCGAGTTCCTCAAAGGTGAGTGCGCGGGGCACGGGAGGGGGGCCCGGCGGCTCGTAACTTTCCCTCTCCCGCCCCAGTTGTTGACTTCCGTGGTTTGCAAGCACCTGCCTGGCCCCGGGGATGGCGGGGGGGGGGGTGCTGCTGCTGCAAGAAAGCTGTCCGAAGGCGATCAGTTTGGTTGGATCCCCAGAATCGCCTAAACTTTGGGGGGTGGGGGGGGGTAGTGTTAAGAGGCGCGGGAAAAA